AGCAAATAATTGTCATCATCTAACCCTAAAAAAGCACATAATGATATGCACTTTCTTTATGTGTTCACTAAAAAGAACTCAACCTAACGTAATTAATTCAAATGTTTAATGTTTATGCATTATTAATTTTTTTTTTCATGTATAATTAAAATAAAAGTAAAAACAATATCCTTGACCGGGTTACGATTGCGCTGCTCGTCAAATAAATTAACATATTTTAATTTTTAATTTAAATTTTCTTACCGTTACGTTATTTTGCGCTCGTTGCGAAAATGTTACATTAACTATTTTTGTTTGTTTGTTTGTCCTTAAACCTTCTCCGTATTATTTCAATGAATAACTCGGGTAGGAAAACTATGTAAGAAGTGTGTTTTTGCGATTATTTTTTTTTGCTAAGTTAGTTCTTCATGATTATACTACCCATCACTTATCGTGAGATTGAACATTAACTTCGAATGAAGCTAAGAAATTATATTAACAAGACCGCAGAGCATACTATCTCATTCGGAAGCAAGATTATAAGTATTATATTATGGTAGGACCTCTTGTAAGTCCGCACGGGTAGATACCACCACCCTGCCTATTTCTGCCTTGAAGCAGTAATGCGTTTCGGTTTGAAGGGCGGGGCAGCCGTTGTAACTATACTGAGACCTTAGAACTTATATCTCAAGGTGGGTGGCGCATTTACGTTGTAGATGTCTATGGGCTCCAGTAACCACTTAACAACTAGATGGCCTGTGAGCTCGTCCACCCATCTAAGTAATAAAAATAAATTAAAAAAAGATGATGATTTTCAAATTAAAGTACAAACCATACTATTGTTTACAATAAAAGCAATTTTGTGAAAACATCTTTAATTTAAAACAATTCAATTTTTGTTTATAAATGACCACCAGTAAACAGTAACCAGGTGGGCTGTGAGCTCGTCCACCCACCCAAGCAATAAAAAAATTAAAAAACTTCCACGGCGACGACATGAAATCGTGTATAAAAATTTAAAAATGCAGAACATAGAATACCTATGCGTAATTGCGAAACAATTAATACATAGACCTTAAGTCTCAAGGTGGGTGGGCCTTACTTTGTGATGACCAGAGATGACAAGAGGATGATTGCACGTCACGCGTAAAAAAAATATGGGGCGCTTGCAACTTGGTGCACGTGAAAGAAGTGAAACTTCTTTTGTTATGTGTAGTATTGTGTTTGGACGCCCGTTAACAGAATATGTATAAGAGAAGATCGCTTTCTTCCTCTCTCCAAGGCCGAGTGGTTCGCGAGACGCTCTGTCTACTTTCTCACTCTCGCTCTTCCAAAATTGTATCTTTTCTCTCCAGTCGTAACGAATCTGTCACCAGTTAAATTTTACTCTCAACGCGTCCAAAGAAGTTTCACTTCAAAAATGCATTCAAATATGTAAAGTGTGTCGGGAATTCTTCAAGAGTATATATCAGTGCTTCACCGAGCAAAAAAGTTTGAGAGTCGCTGATCAAAAACAAACAGGGTTTAACACACAGCCCAGTTAATAACCGATGATTGATTTAAACTAGTTATTTTATTTATAGTTTAACCGATCTCAAATGTCGTATGTATTACTCGAATACAGCTAGAAGGACACTAGTGTCAGACAGCGACGTGCCACTGCGCGTAGTGTTATTACGCACTTAATGATACGTCATACAATTTATCTGTGCAGTTTGCTTAGTGCGAGTTCGTTAACGTTCTCGATAGCGTAAAAGTTAACTCTAATTTGCATGGAGTTGGAAAGTTTGCCTACACTTGCCGCTAGGGGCGCTGTTCCCACTGCATACAAATAAAAGTTAACTTTTACGCTATCGAGAACGTTAAAAAACTCGCATTAAGCACACTGATAGACGACGACTTACAAGGTCCTTGTTTTTTTTTATGAAGGAAGGATTAAGGATAGCCCGAAGGCTTTTACAGCTCTACCAGGCCACGTGGGTGAGCACGCGGTTAGCCAGTAGGATTTGTTAACATTCACCCGAGCGGCCCTAATCGAGACTTCGAAGGCAGCTGCTTTGCGAATGCGTCTACCACCGGATCAGGATCGCGACCCGCTGAGAAGATCCGGCGAGAAACTCAGCCGCAGATGCGTGGAATGCGTTTCGGTTTGCGGTTTGCAGGGGGGGCAGCCGGTGTCTTGTAAAAACTGAGATCTTAGAACTCTTCTCTCAAGGTGGGTAGCGGTATTTCGTTGTAGATGTCTATGGGCTTCGGCAACTACTTAATATTGTCCGCCCATCTAAGCAAATCAAAACAGTTAATAATTACATATAAGTAAATAAAACATAAAAAATAAATGAATTTTAAAACAAAAAAAAGCATAAATATAAATGACGCTATTCCACTATGGCTATTGCCCTAAACACGTCATTACGGATCCTCCCGATCCATTAACGGTGCTTTTAGGTACCTCAAGCATCGGTCACCGTCCTCGCCGAACCCGTCGCTTAGGACGAAAGGCTTGGCGAGCAACTTAACCCATAGACACAGCCCACTGAGTTTCTCGCCGGATCTCCTCAGTGGGTCGCATTTCCGATCCGGTGGTAGATTCTGCGAAGCACTGCTAGGGCCAGTGTTAGCAACACTCCCGGTTTGAGCCCCGTGAGCTCACCTACACGTCAAGGAGAAGCTGAAATAGCCCTCAAGGCTATCAGCATAGGTAGGAGAAAAAAATATGGCTATTGCTTGACTTCAATTTTTTAAGGTAGGTAACCATCTCAGAGGCACAGGGTAACGCATTCCGTAATGCCTTGCATTGCTTTTCTTAGTTTTGCCACGTAACAAACATGACTACAGACTAGCGTAATAGATCTCAGCTGTCAATCAACGGAGCCCGTACGCGAAGGACGCACGTAGCATATACGTGATGAATAAACGTGACTACATTATGACAAAAACGTCCTGTAAATGATTATCATTAAAGTTAATCTTAATTTAGCCGAAAGAAGAGCACAAAGGTCGTAGGAACAAGTTTATTACGAAAGTTTATTTATTTATTTTACAGATAATTCCACTCATACATAAGCAACAAATATGTAAATGTGGATTTGAGTCAGAGAACGGTGAAGGAAGAAATTGAAACATACAGCAAGAATTACCAAACACGACTTGACCAACACACTAATCAGCTAACTGCAGAACTGGGGGAGGACAGTCTAAGATACTCTCGCTTGAAAAGGAGTAGTATACCAGACCTAGCAAAAAGATTTACAGATAGGAGATGAGAATGGTACCACTGGGGACACAACTCAGCTAACTCACCTTTTCCTGATGAATAACTGACATCAAAATTAAATTAGATTTTTTTTTTTTTAAGAAACAGATTGCTAAGTTGCAGAATAGAACAAAAAATTTACAGATAGGTGTTATGTAGTTACGGGAGCCCATAAACATCTACAACGTAAACGCCGCCATCTTCTTTAAGACATGAGTTCTAAGGTCTCAGCTTATAGTATATATACGGCTGCCCCGCCCTTCGAACCAAAACGCATTATTGCTTCACGGCAGAAATAAGCGGCGCGGTTGTACATACCCGTGCGGACTCACATAAGACGTCTTACCACCGATAATTACACAAATTGTGTGCGAGTTTTTTAACGTTTTCGATAGCGTAAAAGTTTACTCAATTTTTTATGGAGTTGGAACGTTTGCCTACACGTAGGTAAGTTGCAACAGCGCACCTAGGGGCAAACGTAGCCACATTACCGCTTTTTTAAGTAAAGAAAAGTTTATTTAGCGTTGCCTATCTTGAATGATTAATTAGACATAACAATGCCCAGTGAAAGATAACTTATCGATTGTACTTCTTTATCGATTGCAGGTGACTTTTTCCTTTTATCTGTGTGACATTAGCTTGTTGCGATGTTGCCGGAGTCGACTTTTTAAATCATCAATTTTATTTACACGTATAGACATTAAAATGTGTTGTGGCGAGGATTGAGGGAAGCCTATGTTTTTCATTAAACGTCTATGGGCTGAAAGATAGAACGAGATAGATACCTAAAATAAACGTTTTATAAAAAATTTAACAGAGCGCATTGAAATGAATGCATTAAATTGTAATTAATTGGAATGGAATTCAATTGAAAATATTTCCTTTCGAATTCACGAATCGTAGATGCAATTAAAAGTTTTTTAAGGGTTTAATCTCCCATTCTATGATGCCGAATTTTTAAAAAATTGGCATGTTTTGTGGTCACGAACAACTCAAGTCGTCAAGCTTTACGAGACGAGATAAGCTGAAATTAGATTTAATGAAACAACTTACTAGTAAAATAAAAAAATATTTCTGAGACTTCAGATCATATTGGCGAATCTTAGAAGCCATATCCAGCGATACTGTTTAATTCTCCCAGAGTTACTCTAAACATTCATAGATTCGAAGGCTTATTAAGTCTCCATATCTACAGGATTTCTACGAAAAAACATGACATTAACAAAGTTAAGCAATTTACTTCTTTATTCCTTGCTTTATTCTTGGGGCCCAGCTAAAATTCGTACCTCATTTCATGGTTACGTTTCGCTATCAATTGAACGAATCATGATTTTTAAAAAACATTTTTGCATTGTTATTATTTCTAAAATAAAAAAAAATTAGGTTTCTGAACGGCTAGGAACTGACAACCATCATTTGTCAATGTCATTCTAAATCAGCTGTCATTGCTGTCAAGTTCTGGCCGCACTTTATTGCGANCCAGCTAAAATTCGTACCTCATTTCATGGTTACGTTTCGCTATCAATTGAACGAATCATGATTTTTAAAAAACATTTTTGCATTGTTATTATTTCTAAAATAAAAAAAAATTAGGTTTCTGAACGGCTAGGAACTGACAACCATCATTTGTCAATGTCATTCTAAATCAGCTGTCATTGCTGTCAAGTTCTGGCCGCACTTTATTGCGAGGATGACTTCATAAGAAGGGAATAGTGAATTTAAAATGCATAAAAAGTCTTTTTCCACCTAAAAATAATATGCGAAAATGGCAGACCGCCTCCGTATAATCGCGCAGCGACTAAAGGACAAAATAAACTTAGCGCAATTGAATGTAACGAATCGCGAAAAGGTCGATCAACTTATTACCAAATACGTACCGGCTACGAAAGTTTCGGAAGTAGCGGAGAGATTTAAATACGATAATTTAACTAAAAAAGTACAAGATTTAGTCACCAAATATGAAAAATTCACGGGAGTCGAAGAAATTATGGCGATACAAAACACGGTGATCGACGCGCAGGTACCTGAATGAAAATATTTTTAATTTATTTCGATTGCCAAGGTCACCCCTGTTTATAATTCCTAGATTATATATAGTTTTCATTGTTCTTTAATTATTCATTAGTCAGTGCGTGTTTTGAAATATTTAACTATAATAGAAATAATAATAAAAAATATAGATTTCAACGAAATAAAATGGGAATAACATTAATAATAACGATAAATTAAAAACTACTGATTAGATCTCGATATGAGAAGCAACAGCTTTGAAAATAAAGAGGAATCTTCAAATTGATTTCATCTAAAGAAAAGTTCTGAGATAAGACTTAAAAAGGAAGTTATTACTTCCCCTTTTTTGTATACGTAATAAAATTTGTTTTCTGAAGATCCCTATACAAATTTTCAAACTAGAACCCTATTAGAATTGAAAAGAAAATAAATGTCTGTCTGTATGTTGAGAACTAAAACAGAATAATGTGCTAAAATAATTAAAAATTTTAAATTAATTCTAAGTTCTAATTTCATTGCTTAGATGGGCGGATGATTACTGTTTCACGGCTGAAATAGGCAGGATTGCAGTACCTACCCATGCAGACTCACAAGACATCGTACCACAAGTAAAATTAATTTTCAAATAATTTCACAGGACAAATTCATTGGTGCCCAAGATCGTCGCCGTGACGTTGGTCGTCAGTTAGCCAACATAGAATCTAGACTGAAAGAATTACATGCTGAAATGCAAAATACTATGAAGGGTGATGAAAAATACTTGCAGCTCTGCACAGAAGAGCACAAGGTTTGATACTATATGTTTAATAATCACTTTTATAGTTAAAGAACAATTCTCATATAAATAATTGAAACTTATAATATGGGCTCGGAGTCCATGTCCTACTTTCAAAAAAGAAAGTATGTTCTCCGTACAACCACCTGACAAGGGCCTGTCTTCATTGAAAGTCACAGACTGCCATATCTCACAGCACATTATCCTAATTGCAGAAAATATAATAACAAAAACTCATAAATTGATAATGATCATTACATGCAGATTTAACATATATAACTTTTAAGAACAACTAGAACTGTGGATTTAAATCCAGTTAATTTCCATCAAAGTTAATTAAATATAGTCAATTCAAATATTCTATATCGAATATAATATTATATTGTAGTTGTAATGTATGTGTGATATGACATCAGAATAACTTGATAAATTATTAAACATCTCATTTATCTTATCCTGAGTTATCTAGAGACAAACAAGTCTTTGATTTCGAGATGAAAATACACATATTAGATGCATTTTTATTTATTGCCTATGTGATTCAATGTTCTCATTGTCTGTCTGATCTTAAGTGATTTCCTGAGTTGGATTGACATAACAATGTGAATGCCTCCACCCCCCATGGAACATCAAGTTGAAATTTAAATAGTACTGTAACAGTCTCACTCCTTAAACCGGAGTCCGTGACAACTTGAGATAGAAACAGCTATGATGATACGATAAGATAGGTATGATACTATCATTTACATAACACCCTACTACTTGCAAAAGTCTGTTACTGATAGCAGTATTCTTGTAATTATACAAGTATACAGCAATTACTTTTAATTAATGCTATTATTAAGTCAGATAATGTTTTTGCCCATTGTATGGTTGATAAAATAGTCATCTTTTACAACACCCACAGAATGAGATGGGCATTCCATCTCTGCTGTTAGCTGTTAGGAACACATAGTCAACATAATGGGCTCTATAATTATACCATAATGATGCATAACACATTTGAATTTGAAGTGAAGTGGTTCACTTTAAAAAAAAAGTGCGCTTACAACTGGGCGCACGTGAATGAAGTGAAACTTCTTTTTCAAGAAAGAAAGAAAGAAAGAAAGAAATCATTTAATCGCCAAGCATAGTGAAAATTAGTTATTAGTATAAGTTAAAAGCAGCGTGTATGCTTTGTCATTATTTGACATGCGAATTTTAGTGCAGTGCAAGATATTATAATATTATTATATAATTTACCATTTATTCATCCATAATTAAACTGAAATTAAAAATTCCATTTATTTTCAATGTCGTCTCTAAGAAAATCATTTATGTGATAATAATTTCCACTTACAAGATTATCTTTTAGTTTTTTCTTAAAATTAAAATCGTCTAAGTCTCTTAATGTCTTTGGTAGTTTATTAAATATCCTAATGCTCATACCTAGTATACTATTATTCTTTAATGTAGTTTTGGATTTTGGAAAACATAGTTTATCGTCGCGTCGATTTTTGTTTGCCACATTAGACATCTTGGTGAATCTATTGGGACAAGTTTTAACAAAAGATGCAACTTCGTATATATATATAGACAAGGAAGGGTAAAAAGTTTATGCTTTGCAAAATATGGCTTGCAGCTGTCGGCTATTGCCAATCCAATGTGTAGTATTGTGGTTTTCTTCATTTTTCATCCTTAAATCAGATTGCTCTTGTAACAGGGTATGCTGTGTATAAGAGGTGCGACATCTTCGACGTTTATATTATATTTTAAATTATAGATAGATAAATATATATTTTTTTTAAATACCTCTCGTTTCTAACACTCGTTCCATTGATAATACACATAAATTAGTTATAGATATGCAACTCAAGCACTCAACAAAAATATTTACGGGTGTCGGCCACTAGATGACTTCGCTTTGATTACTTTCTCATTGCTCCTGTAGATGGCAGTAACATATTACCTACCCTATATTTTATTTTAGATGGCTTCGCTTTGATTACTTTCTCATTGCTCCTGTAGATGGCAGTAACATATTACCTACCCTATATTTTTATTTTCAATGAAGAATTTTGTAAATTTTCAGAAACCATAAATTAATAAAAGTTAATCTTTTTGTCTATTACAAATAAAGACTTTTATGATTTTTTATTTTTTTATTTTCTGTGTTTAGTTATACAATAATTAAAAGCCTTCACTTTAACAACATATAAGTTTAGGGGCATCCGATACACGATGTCGCTAGTTTCCATACAGAAAATATATTTGTCTTAAAGTTTTGCAGTTTCAGGGCTTTGGCTCGCGCTGCGGTATACTACGCGCATGCGTTCGAGTGCCACGCATTCACTCTCGCTCTGTCTCTTTCTATTCCATGGTAGCGTTAAACGTTTAACGCAACCTTATTGGAAGTCGCATTAGAAGTTTCACTTCAATAAACCTATTTCACAGCTTATAATACAAGAACGTGCCCTGCGGACCCTATTCGCCGATGCCGAGAAGGAAGAACGCGAGCTGTTCGCGACGATGTCGGCCGCCGTGAAGCTGGGCCACGAGAGGGAGAGGGCGCACGCGGAACGCAACAAGTATTGGTACATCGTTGCCTCGATTTTTGGTGAGCACAGTTGAACAATTATAGAGAGCAATTTTTTTTTCACAGATATATTTAGCCGATTACCATTTCATCTAGTTTCAGCCAAGCGAATTATCAGGGTTATTATCCTTATTTTTTTTAAATATCAACTACTTCCATTGGACTCTATACAGAAACAGGCTGTTCGGATGGTCGATAGTCCCGCCCTCACGGATCGCTTGGAACCCCTTGGTCTACGGAGGGACTTCGGTTCTCTCTGTGTTTTGTACCGTATGTTCCATGGGGAATGCACTGGAGGAATTATTCGAGATGATCCCCTCATCTCCTTTTTATCATCGCACCTCCCGCCATCGGAGCAGAGTTCATCCATATTATCTGGAACCGCTGCGTTCATCGATAGTGTGTTTCCAAAGATTTTTGCCACGTACCATCCGGCTTTGGAATGAACTCCGCTCCACGGTGTTTTCCGAGCGCTATGACATATGCTTCTTCAAACGAGGCTTGCGGAGAGTACTTAATGGTAGGCAGCGGCTGGGCTCTGCCCTTGGCATTGCTGACGACATGAGCGACGGTGACCACTTACCATCAAGTCGGCCGTGTGCTCGTACACTTTTCTTATTGTTTATAGTCTGTGGTGAAATTGAGAATAGATTAAATATGGACTTTTTGGCGGGAACGCGAGGAGTGAAGTTGTGTGATTTGTTTTATTTTGTCTATTTAGTGTTTCTTCAGGTTTAAATGTGTAATAGCGGTGGTTTATTAACTGTTTAATATCTGTGAAAGTGCACAAATGTGGGAAAATGAAACAATGTCGCTGGACGTAACTTCTGTGGATCCTCCAAAAAGTCCACTGAAAAAATCTTAGGAAATGACCATCATTTTACTAAGATTATATTTCATCTCATATCATCTCATCTTATTTTATTTTATTTCATCCCACTTGATTAATGTCTCAAATTATTCATCTTCATTTCATTTCACTCCATATTATCATTTTTCATAAAAATAAGAATATAAATTAAAATAAGACATGACCTAAAGGTCCTACTTACAAGGTCATAAAATCCATTAAAAAAATAGATTAAATATTGTTTGTCTTTATTATTTGTCTAAAGTGTAGTGTTGGTGAAATCTGTGAAACAGAATTTGACAATGCAATCATAATAGTATACAAACTTATAATTTCAATTAATTATAATCGAATTTGGACTACCAGGGGATTACTAGTACATATATGTTATAATTTGCGTAATTACAAAATTATAATTTGCGTAATTACTGGTGGCAGGACCTCTTGTGAGTCCGCGCGGATGTGTACCACCACCCTGCCTATTTCTGCCGTGAAGCAATAATGCGTTTCGGTTTGAAGGGTGGGGCAGCCGTTGTAACTTACTTGAGACCTTAGAACTTATATCTCAAGGTGGGTGGCGCATTTACGTTGTAGATGTCTATGGGCTCCAGTAACCACTTAAAACCAGGTGGGCTGTGAGCTCGTCCACCCATTTTATATAATATTAATACATCTTAAATAATATTACGGGATGAATGGCAGTTTATTGCCGGAGGCCAAGACCCACTTCGGGGTCATAGCGCCAGGGCAGTAGTAGTAGTAGTAGTAGTAGTAATATTAATTTTAGAAATTTAAACCTTATACTACCTGGTTTATTGTTGATCTCGCAGGCACGGTGCTCGGTATAGCCGGTTCGACGATAAACAATCACCTGAAGATGGCCGAGTTCAGGGACATGATGGAGCAGCAGATGGCCCGGAGCGCGAGCGTCCTGTACACCATCGCGGGGGGCGGGACCGCCAGCCGGGCCGACATCACGGAGGCGATGAAGACCGAGTTCGCTTACCAGGCGAGTCGGGCTGCGAAATCGATTGTTGGGTTGACAATCCGATTGTTAGGTTGACAATCCGATTGTTAGGTTGACAATCCGATTGTTGGGTTGTAAAATTGATTGTTCGATTGTTTAATATTACTGTATGTTCTGGTGTACCACCGCCCTGCCTATTTCTGCCGTGAAGCAGTAACGCATTTCGGTTTGAAGCGCGGAGCAGCCGTTGTAACTATACGGAGACCTTAGAACTTATATCTCAAGCGCACTTATGTTGTAGATGTCTAAGGGTTCCGGTAACCACTTAACACCAGGTGGCCTGTGAGCTCATCCACCCATCTAAGCAATAAAAAAAAACAAAAAATACATCCATATATTCTTACAAACTGCCGTGTTTATAATATTAGTTGGACTAATAGCTCCAAACACTGATACCCAGCTCCATTGACAAGTCTTCTTACTGTCGTTTTCCTGTATATTAAATTCACTATTACTAATAAAGATGTTTTAATTCAACAGGAACAATTAGCCCAAAATTTGAAGTTGATGCAGGAGAATATAAATCATCTTGTCAGCAAGCAAACTTCCCTTATCGGTTAGTTTTTTAAAAACACTTTTATAAGCTTAGTATATATGTCATAGTAGATTTGTCGAATGAGTAGGTGAGCTCACGGGGCTCAAATCTGACGACGTTAACACCAGCCCTAGCAAGAGCCGTGCTTCGCAGAATCTACCACCGGATCGGAAACGCGACCCACTGAGAAGATCCGGCGAGAAACTCAGTGGGCTGTGTCTGTGGGTCAATTCGCTCGCCGAGCCCTTCGTCGCAAGCGACGGGTTCGACGAGGACGGTGACCGGTGCTTGAGGTACCTAAAAGCACCGTTGATGGATCGGGAGGATCCGTAATGACGTGTTTGGGGCGATGTCGACTGTTTACCATTCGGTCCGCAATATCGGGAATGTAGTTACCGGCGGCCACGTTGAGATGGTTCTCATGTCGTGCCGCTTTATCGAAATGGCGCACTGATACCGACTGTAGATACTTACTGATGGACTCTAGGTCCAGGTCGTCGTGGAAGTCCAAGCTCCTCACATGCCAGGGAGCTCCGACGGCTACCCTGCAAAAACATGCACAACCAATTCAATTATTGATAAAAAGTTGGAGATTTAAAAAAAGGAAAAAGTCGTCGTGGCCTAAGGGATAAGACGTCCGGTGCATTCGTATGTAGCGATGCAACGGTGGTCGAATCCCACAGACGGGTACTAATTTTTCCAATCAAATACGTACTTAACAAATGTTCACGATTGACTTCCACGGTGAAGGAATAACATCGTGTAATAAAAATCAAAACCCGCAAATTTATATTTTGCGTAATTACTGGTGGCAGGACCTCTTGTGAGTCCGCGCAGGTAGGTACCATCACCCTGCCTATTTCAGCCGTGAAGCAGTAATGCGTTTCGGTTTGAAGGGCGGGGCAGCCGTTGTAACTATACTGAGACCTTAGAACTTATATCTCAAGGTGGGTGGCGCATTTACGTTGCAGATGTCTATGGGCTCCAGTAACCACTTAACATCAGGTGGGCTGTGAGCTCGTCCCTCATCTAAGCAATAAAAAAACATTTAAAAAAATGTTTTTTTTTTCCAGAACACATGCACAATCAGGAGCATTTAGTAGAAACTCAAATGAAGGATCTCAAACGATTGATAGTCACCGCCTCGCAGTCGAGCGCCAAGTCGGACGCGGAAATAGCGAAGGCCCTCTCAGTCGTGCACCAAGATCTCGACGAGGCTGACAAGGACCGCGACCTGGAACCGGCCAAGGTGTCGCTGGAGCCAAATCAAATCCTAACCGGCATCGGCATAATAGTGTGCTTCGCGATAATATTCGGCAACATTCTGGGCAGAGTCAGTTGAGATGTCAATATTCAGCCCGGACTCGGGAAGTTTGATTTTGGAATCCGGTCACATTTTTTATTTATTTATTTCGATAAACGGTTTTGCCTTTTTAAGTCTTTTATACTTTAGTTGTAAAACATATTAGCATAATATCGAGGCATTATAGAGTTGTTTAATCAGGATTTTAGGTAAATTTGTATTTTTCTTTCTGCTATGACGTGTCATGTTTAAATAAGATTTAAAAAATGTTGCCAGCCATAGATTTTTTATTGCATTGTTGGGGGAACCGACCTGTTATTAAATGATTAGCGCAGCCTGTAGACCTCTTGCATACTGCCACCCACCTTGTAACATGAGGTCTAAGTGTCAATTGTATACTATAACAGCTGCTCCACCCTTCAATTCCGAACGTAACACTGCTTTGTGGCAGAAATAGGCAGGGTGGTGGTACCGAGCCGTGAGGGTACACTGCCTTCCACCAATGGTCCTGGCTTTGCTCCTAGCGCGACTGGCTGTAAATCAAATCAGATTGACTAAATTGCGAAAAAAAGTAAAATTAATATATTTTATTTTAATAACGAACTTCATTTGTAATCATAATCGGTTTCTTCTTTTGATCTGCGTAACTGTCGAATTTGTTTGTAGTGACGTTTAATTTAGTGTTGCCATCTTCGAAGTCGTTTTCCGTAATTTACGGTAAAAAAGGGTAAGGATTCCTTGGATACAAAATAGAAGGTGGAATTAAGGAGCACAGTCTCTGTGTATAAAAACTTTTCCGTCGAACGGTAACCAATTAAGATGGCGCCACCGTACCAAGAGGTGTCATTTAAAAAATAACGTCAAATGTTAAAATCATTAAATCGTTCAACTCTGCACACATCGCTCCGCGTACAACTGTTACATTTTATTTTTATTTTTTATTGCCCTTGTAGGCAGACGAGCAAACGGCCCACCTGATTGATGGTGAGTGGTTACCGTCGCCCATAGACTTCAGCAATGCCAGGGGCAGAGCCAAGCCACTGCCTACCGTTGAATTACCGTTTATATATACACACCACTTGCTACGCTCGCAGTCCACTGGTGATCTTCCGAATGGTAATTCGCTACCCACAGGTGGACACTATTAAATTTGCCCGACTTTTTGGCGGGAACGCGAGGAGTGAAGTTGTGTGATTTGTTTTATTTTGTCTTATTTAGTGTTTCTTCAGGTTTAAATTTGTAACAACGGTGGTTTATTAACTGCTTAGTATCTGTGAAAGTGCACAAATGTGGGAAAATAAAACAAAGCCACTGGACGTAACTTCTCCGGATCTTCCAAAAAGTCCACTGAAAAAGTCTCAGTAAATGACCACCATATTACTGAGATTATATTTCATCCCGTATCATCTCATCTCATTTCATAAAATAAGACTTGACCTAAAGGTCTTAGTTACCAGGTCGTAAAATCCCTTTTAAAAAAAACTTGCCCCCCGCCCCATATGTGACAGTACTCCTTACGTCTACCCTCAATAGGTTAGAATTCTGGCTTCTATGGTCGGTTCATATATTATATTGTTAATTTGAAGTTCTTAAAAAGTTGCATCAATGATTCAAATTGTCTATGAACGGGTCCCAAGGACCCAAGCTGTTTCCCGGTCTGTGTTTAGAAAATAAACTTAAAGATGTAATGTATAAAGTCTGATTTATAGATGGCTATTAAATTTGGTTTTTATAACACTTGTTTACTTATGAATGTATGTCTTGTGTTTTTTTTTTGTAAAACAATAAAATGTACGTGTAATTTAATGTTTTTTATGAAAACGGTGTTGAAGCGAAATATAATATTGATTGTTGCATTCGTTTCGTTTGATTTGAAAGCACGCGGCCTGTAAATTATTTATTAATGACTAGCTGACCCGGCAGACTACGTAGTGCCTCAATCGAAAAATGAAAGACCTAAACTTTTGTATAAAATAAACTTAAAACAAACAAAAGGAATCCGTCCGACCGGGGACACAGCAAAGGAAAAACAAAATTGTTATTTTTATTTAATTCCGAGCATTTTCATATTTATCTTTTTAACCTTCTCTGGAATTTTTTTTTTGCTTAGATGGATGGACGAGCTCACAGTCCACCTGGTATTAAGTGGTTACTGGAGCCCATAGAAATCTACAACGTAAATGCGCCACCCACCTCGAGATATAAGTTCTAAGGTCTCAGTATCTCTCAGTATAGTTACAACGGCTGCCCCATCCTTCGAACCGAAACGCATTACTGCTTCACGGCGGAAATAGGCGGGGTGGTTGTACCTACCCGTGCGGACTCACAAGAGGTCCTACCACCAGTGATTACGCAAATTATAATTTTGGGGGTTTGGTTTTTATTACACGATGTTATTCCTTCACCGTGGAAGTCAATCGTGAACATTTGTTGAGTACGTATTTCATTAGAAAAATTGGTACCCGCCTAGCCTACGGGATTCGAACACCGGTGCATCGCTACATACGAATGCACCGGACGACTGACTTCCACAAATAATTCAAGACCAAAATTAGCCAAATCGGTCCAGCCGTTCTCGAGTTTTAGCGAAAATAACGAACAGCGATTCATTTAAATTTTTTTTTAATTCCCCAAGTATTTTTCTTGCGTGGGGGGCCGAACCTTCAGCGATGTCCCGCGCCTGAGGAGCGCCCGAGATTCGAACGCGTTCCGAGCAGCTGGTTCTAGTCCGTTAGGGTATTCTGGGACACCAGCCCAACCGCTTGAAGCGACCTGATCCGCTTTGGGACCAACGCGAAGTCGTCGACGACTCCGGCGCTGGGACATTGGGGAGAGTTGCGCGTCTAGTTATAGTGTTGACGGTGAAATCTCCCCTATATCACCCGGGTTCTGTCTCGGGCGACGAGCGAGAGTGCAGAGGAGTCGTTTAATGGGTGGGCCTTGAACATCTTCGACCATTTAGTTCAACATGCCCTGCGCAAACCACGCACAGGAGGCTCGGAATTCGGCCCGAAAATAAAGCCGGATCTATACTAAGAGTAAACCTCTCCCCGTACAATACCATCATCTGACCGATTAAAAATTAGCAACCGATACCCGGGTACCCTTTATATTCTTGGTACAAATGTATAGTAACTTAAAAAAGAAAATTGAACTTTCACATTTTTGGAAAGTATTTATAATTGAATATAAGAGTTGAATTTCGTATAGTGTTCTTAGGGATTCTAAAGCATGTATAAAACGTGTGTGGCTTCACTGTAAATTTCTCATTTCTGAAACGGCCAGGTAACTATATAAACTAAGGGGATATTTAAGAGAATATATTTAGTTGACACAATATACTTGTTGCCAGTTGATTGGAATATTCGGTTCCCGCCAAAAAGTTTGTACATCCGATCAAAATTCGCATATGTCCGGCGGCAGCCACAATACAACACAAGATTCATTGACAGATGCCTGAATCTCGCTAACGACATTTTCAAAATAAGTTTGAATCTATAGAAGATCCAAACAACAGCATTGGGACCATCAGTCTACGCAGCAATTACACCCATTCGACGGTAGATTTTGCCTTTGTCATTAAACTCCTAAAAGCTTAAATTACTGGCTTCTCGTGTTCTTCTAAAAGGCCTATTGTACTCCTAGTGAATTTCTCCTCGGAGTATTTTTATCTCATCGAACACTTTTATTCTGCTTTTTAGTTGTGTCCATTCCACACTCATCATTTCGTTCTCTTTACATTCCGATCTTTGTTTAGTATGTTTCGTCTTGTTCCAAAAGGCTTGGCTCTTAACCTCGGTTTCTTTTGCTTATCATATAAATCAAACAAACGAAAAATAAAATGAAAATAAACTGCCATCTGTCATTTCTAACACTTATGCTTGGGTTTTATTATTTATTGATTTTTATTAACTCTTTTAATACAACTGTAGAAAAGACGTGAATAAAGAGATGCAGGAAGGTAACTAATAAATACAATACATTTACTGTATGGAATTCAAGTCAATATAAGTTTTAAACGTGTTTAATAACACGTAAAATGATATAGTACTTTAACATCATTTTGATTAGTGGTATTGTTTTGTTAAGTAATCAATAAGTGATCAAGGGCAAATCACGGTCGTCTAGCCCTATACTGGGACTCTGTCGCAACCAAATTATGGATCGTACGTATTTAAGAAATGAAATGTTTTTTCAGATTTAGAAGTCACCGGTATATCGAGGAGTGGTCGGGTTAGAAAGAAGAGTTCCAAGCTAATGGACTTTGAGTCGCCCGACGATATCGAGACTAGGTTCAGGCGCCAGACACCCGTCAAGACATACACCACAAGTCGTCAGGAGGAACCTGACTACAGTATCCAGGAAACACCTCAGAGGCCGGTCGAGGAGGTGAACACTGCATCGGGAAGCGAATCTGATTATTATGAGAATAATGCTGAAAACGCTGATAGGTAAAGTTTCACCACTGGCAGCCAGAAAATAGTCCCTTGAGTAACTTCTTAGCATTATTCACTTAAACACCTCCTTATTCTATATTAAACAAAAAAAAACTGTATACACATTATGTTACAACATTCAAGTTGAGTTGAATAAATCTGTTTTAAACATAAGTAAATAATCTCTGAAAAACATAAAAACATAAAATTTATTATTTACATGAAATGTATAATACTCTAATTCTTATTCATCTTTCTTTCTTCTTCTTCTTTGTCGTTTCCTCATTCCTGAGGGTCGTGACCACCTTGGTCCAGTTTTTGCACCAGCTTCCTCCAATGTTGCCTGCATTCGGCCTGCTTAATGGCGCCCGGGACTCTGGTGTTTGTGGCCTCCTTGATAATGTCCGTCCACCTTTAGGTTTTCATCTTTAGGTTACCTAAAAACTAGCAATGTTCTCTTAATATATAATTAGTTTAATAGCTGTGTATTTGTTATAATATAACTGCTATGGTTATATTGTTTGTTAATTGAACTTACAGATATATTGAAAAATAGTTTTGTAGTCTGATTAATGCGATAGCTGTACTGCATGTCAAGGTAATTATCTGACAAATTATCAAAAGTGGAAAGACAAATTTCGCATAATATATTAAAAACTCAGTGCCGCTTAAATTCACAGTAATGAATTTTACCTCTAGCTTGGAATCAGACAGTTCGGCTTCTGAAGAGGGATCGGCCCGTACTCCGGCTAACTCATTGTACATGATGGAGAAGAATAGTAAGAAGAAGCTAATTGTGAAGGATGGCCGAGTCATTGGCAGGGCTAAAGCTCAGAGAAAAGATAAAGGTATCTTTTTTCCCCCACCTAATCGTTGGTAGCCTAAGGAGCTTTTGCAACTTCAAACAGACCGATAGGTGAGATCACGGGCTTAACTTGAGAGAATTGCTAACACAGACCTTAGCTAGAGTGGTGCTTTCCTGAATCTACCACTAGATCGGAATAGCCACAGACTGAGAAGATCCAGTGAGAAACTCAGTGGGTTGTGTCTATGGGAAAGCTCTCTTATTGCCCTTTGTTAAACTTGTATTATATACAAAAAAACATAGACAAACAGTTCCTAACTAAGTATATTGGTATGATGAGAAATTGCTTAAACTATGTACGAGATGAAATTTTATAAACATTTTCAAAGTTCCTACTAGTGCAATCTGGCCAAGCCCTGATGTATGCCATCATATTCATTTGAAACTAACCATGAAAAAACCATCCCTGAAGTATATTTAGTACATACAATAGGTCTTCTTATCAAGAAGTGAAAGGTTATGTGGTTTAATGGCGTCATTTCGATTAATATGTGACGTTTATATTTGTAATTAAAGATCTGTTTTATTTGATATTAGTATAAACTTTGAACTTCCAAACTTTGAACTTTAAATGATTCTACTGTAATGTTATGTAGGAATATGCCGCTTATACCAAATAGCATTTCACTCGTCGTTACGTTATGGTCTTATGTTGATGGATTTAATGAATATAATATGACAGCAACTTGCTTATATCTGCTGCAAAACAATGCTATACAAATTAATATTGTAAATACGAAAATAAGTCTGTCTGTTAGGTTTCTAAATTCAATTTAATGAACCGATTTTGACAAAATTCTGTATAGAAATAGTTTGGCTTTATCTACCTATATAAGGGGTCATCCATAAGTTACCTCACACGTTGATGGGGAGGGGGCTATTACCGAAATGTGATATAGTGTGACGTAGTGGGCATGGGGGGGGTCAATAGTTTTGTGACGTCAAAAACATGTTAAAATTTAAAATATTAAAACGCGAAGTTTAGATGTGAATAAAAAACTTTAAAAATCTACGAACTTGACTTATAGTTATTAATAATTTAGCATTCTCGCTATGAGATTATCTCTCATGCAACCTCATTTAACTTATAATTTAACTTACAAGTATAAATTGAAAAAATGTGTGACGTCACATGGGGGGGGGGGTTATAAAAATGTGACAACTTGTGACAAGGACGAGAGGGAAGGGTTCAAAAGTCCTAAAATTCGTGTGACCTAATATATGGATGGCCTCTAATGAACTATAGTTCATACAGTTGAAGCTGTGATAGCTCACACATGTTTTACAATAGTAGATGACATTCACAATTACTGGTACTTCTTGTGAGTCCAGGTACCACCTGAGGTAGGTACCACCACGCTTCCTATTTCTGCTGTGAAGCGATAATGCGTTTCGGTTTGAAGAGTTGGGCAGCCATTGTAACTATATGAGACCTTAGAACTCATATCTTAAGGCGAGTGGTGACATTTACGCTGTAGATGTCTATGGGCTTCAGTAACCACTTACACCAGGTTGGCTGTGAGCTCGTCCACCCATCTAAGCAAGAAAAAAAAAAAAAAATTACTAAACATATTGATACCACTGTAATACAATGTGTACCAAATTACTGTACCTTCACAGGAAAAACACGCATTACAGCCTATATGATGTGGGCGAAAGAAGCCCGCAATGAACTGCTTAAGAAACATCCCGACATGGATTTCTCGGCTATATCAAAACGGCTTGGAGAAATGTGGTCTAATGTGAGTATATTGTAATAACTAGAGAAAAGTTTTGGGTTTTAAAAAAAGAAAGTTTTCGTCGGATGGTCTTATTAAACTATTGCATAGCTTTAATGGCGGGTTCTGAAAGCGGCGACAGAATCAAGAAATTCCGTAACGAAAATAAAACCTAACACCCCCCACTCCGCCCACCATATAGCTCGCGTTTAACACATTCACACGTTACGCTTGTAAGTATAGTGTTTGTCGATAAGCGCGACGACGTGACGTCGCACTGTTTACGCATCATGTAAAGTCTGCCCATCTCTCTCTCTCGCGCGGTCTAGCTTATGAGTGTGAAGGGGACAGTTAATGTTTTGCTTTTGTTAATGTTTATAAATATAGCGTGGTCTTATCTTATTATTGTTTTAATATGAAATTATTATTGTCTAATTATAATTGCATAAGTTGATAAAAAATGCTATGCAATAGCTTTACCGTGGTACTCCCCGAGGGCCACGCATGTTTTCTATTTCTATACTATTCCATTTTTCTATATCGCTGATCGCTGTATGTATTAACTGACCATTAGGTCACGACCATCAGCAGTGAGGAAACGCTGCGAGGAGGAGTTGTAGTAGTTATGTATGATGTATCAGAAAAAAATAAGTTTTAAGTCTTTTTGTCGGGTCTGCTGTGGTCGTTATAGTTTAAAAAAGGCCCACTTTAATAAAAAATATTCAGAGTATTCTTCTGTATGAAGTAGTTGAAGTATTCGTGAATTCCTAATGAATGTTTCAGGTGAATTACAACGAGAGATACTTGTGGAAGCGCAAAGCTAAGAGATTCGCCATACAGAAGGAGCAAAACAATCAAGTTATCAACAAAATCATATCCAATCCGAGTAAGTTTACACTTTATAGACTTATTGTTTGCCTTTGAGAAGACTGACTTCTTACACACAAGGCGTGACGAGGCGACATTTACGTCGTGATGTCACAGCCCCATAGATATCACGACGTAAATGTCGTCTTGTGACATGAAGTCGGGCGGCAAGTCTGAAATTGTAATAAATTATAATATTAAAATGTTTGTGCCCCACTCTTTAAACTGGAACGTGTTACTGTTACGCCATTATTCATTCATCTTGGAAGTAGTTCGTGGCCACTTTATTTTTTATTGTTTATATGGGTGGACGATCTCACGACCCGCCTGGTGTTGAAGGGTTACCGAAGCCCATAGACATCTACTACGTAAATGGCGCCACCCACCTTGAGACATTTTTTTTTCCTACCTAAGCTGAGAGCCTTGAGAGGCTATATCAACGTAGCCTTAACTAGTAGGTGAGCTCACGGGGCTCAAACCTGATGACGTTGCTAACACTGACCCTAGCAAGAGCTGTGCTTCGCAGAATCTACCACCGGATCGGAACGCGACCCACTGAGAAGATCCGGCGAGAAACTCAGTGGGCTGTGTCTGAGGGTTAATTTACTCGTCGAGCCCTTCGTCGCAAGCGACGGGTTCGATGAGGACGATGACCGGCCTTGAGACCTGAGTTCTAAGTAACATTTATAGAAGTCTAACTTCTCCCGCAGGTGTGAGGCCGGCGAACCCCGGGCCGGGCCGTCCATCCGTCGGGCGCCCCCCGCGTACCCCCGCCGCCGCACCCCCCGCACCCCCCCAGCTCGCCATCACGGTAACTACACCAAACTTACTCGTTGAGCAAATATTTGGAACCGAGCCATTACTAGAGCTTATGGACATCACATACATACCTCGGCAGTCGAGGTCAGAGTAATTAACCTTCAATCTGACATCGGTGACTGGAAGATCGAAAGAGGGTTTTGATTCGCTGAGGGTTTTTGTGAAGTGTACATGACTAGCGATCCGCCCTCGCTTCGCTTCGGTAACTATAATTTGTTATTGATCTTGTAGGGGCAGTAGTAGTTAAGCTGCTTCAACTAACTAGATTGTCTAGGCATTGACACTTGAGGCTAGGTAACACAGAGAGAATGGATATTGTTATATCGTTTACTTAACGTATATTGTATACAGGGTGTCCCAGAAAGAATTAATAATCCTCAAACACCCCATAGTAGAGCTATTGAGGACACAAAAAAAAATCTCAGATAGTACCCAAATTAGGTATTTTAAAAAAGTTCATATTTTCCATACCATTCCAAATAAATGAAATCCATAGGCTTTTTGGTGTTATAATATTCTACATGGACTATATGTACTAAGGAATATCCAGTAAATCGTATGAGTAGCTAGTGTAGTGAAACTTCTTTAGAATCGTGATTTCAAACTCGATAAACCAGAAAAAATAAGTCCATAGAGACACAAACACATAAATGTATAGGATTCAGCCGGCGAGAGAACGAAATAGAACACATTAGACTTTCTCAGTGGTGTTTTTTTAATACAGCGCCATCTATGAAATTTTTTAACACTAACGCGTGTATGAAACCTCTGGTAATGAATTTTAATTTAGGATTATACGTGAAGTAAAAATATCAATTCACAGAGGGCGCTACCTCATNATCGCGCGTTTCTCTCATTATTGTATTTTCATATATTTGTTAGTCGTTTGTTTTGTGTCTCGTTAATTTGTTAATAATCTGTAGTGTATCGTGTTGTCGTAATATAGAACTATTTCTCGTATTGTTTCGTTTAATTTTTTATATCCAGTAAACTCCAGTCGTGCGTCGGAGCGGACACACACACTTTTTTTTTTTATGATTGAGAGATTACTGGTGGCCCGAAGGCCTTTCCAGTTTCACCAGGACAGGTGGGCGAGCAAAGGCTCAGCCAGGAGGGGTGGGATTTGCTAACAGCTGCCCGAGTGCCTCCGAAGGAGACCTAACAACTCAAGAGCAATTGCTTCGCGAATGAATCCACTACCGGATCGGAATCGCGACCCGCTGAGAAGATCCGGCGAGAAACTCAGCGAGCTGATGCATGGGCTAGGTTGCACGTCGACCTCTTTGTCGAGTTCGACGAGTACGGTTACTGGGGTCCCTAAGCCTGCTCCTAGTATTAGAGCTGAAGGCATCTAATGCAAAGGTTATTGGATCTGATGGATTCTACCACGTGTGAATTGCACACATGTATTATTTTTATTGTCTAGATGTGATTGTAAGGCAATAGTAAATTACAGTTTCCGAAGCGAAGGGACGGCGCGTCGCTAGTAAGTAATAAAATTGTGTTTGAATTATAATGCTTTAATATTTTACGTTAGGCCTCATCGTCGTGTAGCACCGCGGCCCTTTACCGCGTGACGGGCTGCGCGCCGGTCGACGTGGCGGCCCACCTGCGGCTGCTGGGGGAGAGCCTCGCCATCATCGGCGCCAGGCTCAAGGAGCACGAGGTAGTTAGTTGAGCTGTTATTGTGACCGGACTGTGAGAACTTGCGTAGTGTTCTGTCAGTGGAGTCAAGGTCAGTCATCATAGATGGGTGGACGAAGTCAGTTCACCTGGTGTTAAATGGTTACTGGAGCCCATAGACATCTACAACGTAAATGCGCCACCCACCTCGAGATATAAGTTCTAAGGTCTCAAGTATAGTTACAACGGCTGCCCCACCCTTCAAACCGAAACGCAACGGGCATGTTCAAAGATTACAAACATACATACGTCTGAAGCATACCCGATTCTGTAGACCGAATGGTAAACAGTCGACGTCGCCCAAAGCACGTAATTACGGATCCTCCCGATCCATTAACGGTGCTTTTAGGTACCTCAAGCACCGGTCACCGTCCTCGTCGAACCCGTCGCTTGCGGCGAAGGGCTCGGCGAGCGAATTAACCCTCAGACACAGCCCACTCAGTTTTTCGCCGGATCTTCTCAGTGGGTCGCGTTTCCGATCCGGTGGTAGATTCTGCGAAGCACGGCTCTTGCTAGGGCCGTGCCCCGTGAGTTCACCTACACACGTTAGGGCGAACCTGAAATAGCCGGCTATGGAATGAGTTTCTCTCCACGGTGTTTCCCGAGCGCTATGACATGCCCTGCAAACGAGGCTTGTGGAGAGTATTAAGCGGTAGGCAGCGGCTTGTCTCTGCCCCTGGCATTGCTGCAGTCCATGGGCGACGGTAACCACTCACCATCAGGTGGGCCGTGTGCTCGTCTGCCCACAAGGGCCACAACAAAAAAGCCTTAAGGCTATCAGCATAGGTAGGATTAAAAAAATGTCTGAAGCTATTAAAAACACCGTTGCATCGCTACATACGAATGCCCCTGTAAGTCTCTGCGGTCCGTTCCCCCCAGGGTCAGATCGCGGTGTCGGGCTCGGTGTCGGTGTTGCTGGACACGCTGGTGTGCGCGCTGGGTCCGCTGGCGGCGCTGACCCGCGCGCTGCCCGGCGTGGCGCCGCCGCCCGCGCTGCTGCAGGACACGCTGCACAACATCGCCTACATCATGCCGGGACTCTAAGAAGACCCAGGACTTCCCCGATCACAAACGATCCACGTTCTCAAGTTTTGTTAAACTGTAATTAGGTGTTTTTTTTTATGAATAAATAATACGAATTTGGTTTTTTTGTTTATTAATTGATTGATTATTTAAAATGATGGGAGCTTTTTTTAAGGGATTTTATGACCCGGTAACGAAGACCTTTAAGTCATGTCTTATTTTAATTTATATACTTATTTTTCTGAAAAATTATAATCTGGAGTGAAATGAAATGAAGATAAGATAATATAAAATGAAATATAAAAAAAATATAATCTCAGTAAAATGGTAGTCATTAACTGAGATTTTTTCAGTGGACTTTTTGGAGGATCCATAGAAGTTACGTCCAGCGGCCTTATTTCATTTTCTCACATTTGTGCGCTTTCACAGATATTAAACAGTTAATATACCACCGTTATTACACATTTAAATCTGAAGAAACACTAAACAGACAAAATAAAACAAAACATACAAGTTCACTGCTCGCGTTCCCGCCAAAAAAAAAGAAACAAAAATGGGAGCGTTAATCGTTGTCAATGAACGAGAATTTTAGGTGTAAAGTTAGGCTTGCATTAAATCCTCTCGTTAATACGATACACTGCTGTACCACGAGCAGGAATTTGATTCTTGGTTAGAATCGTGAATGAAGAATGAAGTCGTCGTGGCCTAAAGGATAAGACGTCCGGTGCATTCGTATGTAGCGATGCACCGGTGTTCGAATCCCGCAGGCGGGTACCAATTTTTCTAATGAAATACCTACTTAACAAATGTTCACGATTGACTTCCACGGTGAAGGAATAACATCGTGTAATAAAAATCAAACCCGCAAAATTATAATTTGCGTAATCACTGGTGGTAGGACCTCTTGGGTGTCCGCACGGGTAGGTACCACCACCCTGCCTATTTCCGCCGTGAAGCAGTAATGCGTTTCGGTTCGAAGGGTGGGGCAGCCGTTGTAACTATACTGAGACCTTGGAACTTATATCTCGAGGTGGGTGGCGCATTTACGTTGTAGATGTCTATGGGCTCCAGTAACCACTTAACACCAGGTGGGCTGTGAGCTCGTCCACCCATCTAAGCAATAAAAAATAAATCAAGATATGAATATCTTAATAATCTAAGGATTCGTGTGAGGATACATCGTGCTGCTGAGGGAGGACTTGAAGAACGCCAGTGGACTCTTGACCCTATTCTAGGTTCAAAGACGCCTATCGATGCATTCCTTTCCCTGTCTAGTTAGATTTGATAGTAACCTACTAGTTGGCTTAAAGGTCTCATTACCGGGCCATAAAAATCTAAACAAAAGGACCTCTTAATGTGGTTTTAAATATTCGTTTAAGTATAATATTATTTATATAGATTAGATGGGTGGAAGAGCTCACAGCCCACCTCGTGTTAAGTGGTTACTGGAACCCATAGACATCTACAACATAAATGCGCCACCTACCTTGAGATATAAGGTCTCAGTATAGTTACAACGGCTACCCCACCCTTCAAACCGCATTACTGCTACACGGGCACTGTCGTAAAAAAAAGGTTGTCCGTAAAGTCGGTTTACGGACGATAGTTTTACGTGATAACGTCAGTAGCAGAACTATTCGAACTGCTAGCTCTGACGTCACGCGAGAAGAGAGATAAATGTGTCACAAGCCAACGCTGGGGCTGATCGTGCCTCTCTATCACTTGTTCAACGCTCTCGCTTGCACGCTCAGGCAAACGTGACACTTTTTCGTGCGTGCAGCCGGAGTTCATCGATTTATTAACGAGATAAAAAGGTCATGTTATAAACAAAACAAAAACTACAAAACGGCAGTAAAATTTACAAACTTTATTCATATACTCACAAACACAATAATACACTAAACTATACCTAATAGTATCTTATAAACTTAATTACAACTTTAAACTACTTAAATACGAATGAGATTTACAATTTTATGACTTATCGTAATATTAACAGATACATTGGTACCGGCGTGCTATTGGAGCCGAATTATACTCCAAATAAACTAAAGAGCCACTGGGCCACAGCAGAAAATGCTACAGGCTGTGAACATCTATAGAATGACATGGAGACTTTGTTTTAAGTGTTCATGTGAACACGGAGAACATCACAAATAAACAAAAAGATAAACGATAAGTATTAGTAGTAGTAGATAAGGATTAGCATAAAGGGTTGTCTGGAAGACATCGCTTTTAGCGATAAGACCGCCTATTGTACAAATGTATCTGCTTGTTGATTGTTTTTGAATGTAAATTGTGTATTGGTGTGCAATAAAGTGTATTCTCATTCTCTCATTCTCTCTCTCTCTCTCTCTCTCTTTCTATTTTCTGCGATTTTCCTAAATCGTGTATATACATGAAAAACCAATTTTACGGTTTAATCTTGCGTCGTATCGACTCAACGACTTTAGGCGTTTGCTACAAAGGAAAATGTAAAGAATTCGAAGCATTGGAAATAATGATAGTAAAAAAAATTACATGTGTGCACTTCACACGTGGTAGAAGTGAAACCTTCCAAAATTGAAATACAATTATCCTAAACGTCTTAAGTATATGTAAAATGTTGTCATTAGTAAATAATTGTAAGGTAGCGCCCTCTGTGAATTGATATTTTAATTTCACGTATAATCCTAAATTAAAATTCACTACAAGAGCTTTCATACACACGTTAGTATTAAAAAATCTCACAGATGCGCTGTATTAAATAGTATGTATATTTCTGTCTCATTCTTTGCTGGCTTCATCCTACACATTTTTGTATTTGTGTCTCTTACCTGTCGTTTTTTCCGTTGCATCCGGTTTGAAATCACAACGATTCTAAAGAAGTTTTCACTTCAAAAAAACGCGATATTAAATCGTAAAATAAGTCTTTAATTATAAACAAGTGTTCTAATTTCGCTGGCCGTACTATAAAAGCTTCGTTTTAACAGATTTACAGCTATGTAGGTCACCGGTGTCCTACGCGGCGCACTGAACTAATTATGTGGATTTCTGTTACTAAGGCCTGGTCTGGATTGCCTAACTGCGCCTTCTTTTGTTTGTTAATGTATTAGTCTTTTATTTTTCCAAGAAATAGATTCTTTCTCAGTATCGTTCGGATTCGTCTTTCCCAGAGTCTACTAGATCTACTCGATTTCCCAGAGACTACTGATGGTAGGACTTCTTGTGAGTCCGCGCGGGTAGATACCACCGCTTTGCCTATTTCTGCCGTGAAGCAGTAATGCGTTTTACGTTGTCTATGGGCTCCAGTAACCACTTAACACCAGGTGGGCTGTGAGTTCGTCCACCTATCTAAGCAATAAAAAAAAACCGGCGTCTTAGTAAGAAGATCGAAGAGAGAAATTGACATAATGACTTCAGTGCGCCGCCTAGGGCACCGGTTACCTACATGGCAGTCAAAGGGTTAAGAGGGTGTCCATTAATTACGTGAGGCGTTTTTGAGATTGTTTTACCCCCCTCCCCCCAAGACGCTAATTTTAGTATTATTTATTGAGCACACCACTGATGATCGTATAGTCGGCGGGGGGTCCGATTAGAGCAGGCGCCCCCTGCAGTTGGGCGCGCCGCAGTGGCAGTAGAGGACCTTCCCGGGGACCGAGCCCACGTCGTAGTTGTAGTTCCAGGTGAGCTCGGTCCCGGCGCGCACGTGGCACAGCGCGAAGAACGCCACCCACGGGAACCGCGGGTCGTGCGTGTCCACGAACACGTTCTGCACGAACACGTTCGGGGAGCACGAGTGCTGTGCGCGACGCAAATGGGCCATTTTAATAATAAATACATAAATATAAGGCAATGTAAGGGGAAAAAAATTCTGTCATCCGATCCCATATATATGTGAAGGTAAGCAGCGGCTTGGCTCTGCCCCTGGCATTGCTGAAGTCCATGGGCGACGATAACCACTTACCATCAGGTGGATCGTATGCTCGTCTGCCTACAAGGACAATAAAAAAAATAAAAAAATCATTTTTTTATTGCATAGTGGAGTCCATAGACATCTACAACGTAAATGCGCTACCCACCTTGAGATATAAGCTCTAAGGTCTCAGTATAGTTACAACGGTTACCCCACCCTCCATAGCAGAAATAAGCAGAATGATGATGATATGAGTTGAATTATGGATGAATGAATGGTAAATTATATAATATTAAAACTATGCACTGCACTAAAATTCGCATGTCAAATAATGACAAAGCATACACGCTGCTTTTAATTTATGTAATAACTCATTTTCACTATGCTTGGCGAATAAATGATTTCTTTCTTTCTTTCTTTCTTTCTCCTTTCTATAGTATGATTCGCGTTGTGATGTCCACGGACCACTGTGACTGCTCAACGCTGGATGTATTGTTAGCTCGGTACAATCGTCTAAGCAAAAGATGTAGAACTTAACATGAACTTAATATGACATTTAAGCTTTACACTCAGTGTTAGCGCCTGACAATATTTTTATTTATTTATATGGGCTTGTGTACTCACGTTGAGGTACCGGCCGATGTTCCCCTGCACCTTCGCGTCCATGATGTAGCAGGCCTCGTCGGCGCCGTACAGCTGACGCACCGACCTGCGCGACACGACATCAGTACGGCGGTTTGTTTTAAAAAACAACACGCGCGCTCAAACACACATGCACACACACGCCCACACACACACACACATACTCGCTCAAACACACACACCCACACCCACACACACACACACAGACACACACACATTCGCTCAACAACACACGCTCGCTCAACACACACACACATACACATATAATATACTGCCTTACTACACAAATCGGTGCATCGGTCGTTTCAAGATCGTCCACTGACATCAATAATCATTTGAAGGTGCCCCCCCCCAACCCCCCGCACGTCTCACCTGTGTTTAGGCACGAACTCGTTGGCGCCCATCCCGGCCTGCGCCGTGAACCTGGACGGCTCCCGGACTGCAACAGAGGACGGACCCGGGTCAGTGAGTACTACACGCTGACTAAACTATACGGAACTATCACTCTACAGTCTGAAATTTAAACTAGCTCAAACTGAGACCTCACAACTCATGTCTCAAGGTAGATGGCCGCATTTACGTTGTTCGGATTCGTCTTTCCCAGAGCCTACTAGATATTCCGGCGCCTTAGTGAGATAGATAATTGAAGAGAGAAGTGAGTTGAATGCGCCGCGTAGGGCACCGGTGACCTACATGGCAATCAAAGGGTTAAATATACACTAATAATGAAAATTTGGTTTAAAGAAAAAATACAACAAAATTTCTTCGTCAATGGTTTTTCATGTCTACGGCTGAGGGCTGGACGTGTCCATGGACACATTAATACGACCACACTAAACCCTCACCCTCGTCGTCGTCGCTTATGGTGATGCAATCTTCCCCGGGAGCCGGTTCTTTGGTCTTGTCCTTGTCCTTGTCCTTGTCTCTCTCTTTCTCCTTCTCCTTCTCTTTCGAAGACTTCTCTTTATCCTCGTCTTGTTTCTTTTTGGCACGCTGTCTTAACCTCTTACTGCGGAAGCAACTTAATAATTAATATAACCCGAATCGTTATCGTCTAAGGACGTAACAATACGTTCACGTGTAAACATTAAGTAATTAAAATTAAATTCTTTTTTTTCAGGAATTTGACTAGTTCCATATGTTTAAATAGCATCAAATAATTTACATTTCAACAGGTCAAAGGCTATTTGGTTTAGGGGACATTTCGCTTATCACGCGACAGCTATCTTTGCAATTAAAAGTCCGTTTTATTTAGTATCAGCGTCAACAGTTCGATGTTTTTAATTTAACTTTAATTAAGTTTACTCCATTCAAATAGATGAATAAGTATTTTTGTTGTTATAATATTTTTTTCTAAATTTAAAACTTCAAACGGCTCTCCTGCAAAGTTGCAAAAATGTCGGTTAAACCACACATTCTTTCACCTCTCGATTTATACATTATTGCTATTACACAATTTTATACATTTTATAGAAAAAAAAAACACGTGTGGCACTCGGGGACTGCCGCGGGAAAGCTATTGCATTGCTTTTTTTTATCAACGTATACAATTATAATTAGACAATAATAATTTAATATAAAAACAATAATAAAATAAGACCACGCTATATTTATATACATTAACAAAAGCAAAACATTAAATGTCCCCTTCACACTCATAAGCTAGACCGCGCGAGAGAGAGAGAGAGACAGACTTTTCATGATGCGCATGTAGTGTGACGTCACGCCGCGCGCTTATTCACAAACACTACCCGAGCGCAACGTGTGAATGTGTTGAACGCGAGCTACATGGTAGACGGAGTGGGGTGTTAGGTTTTATTTTCGTTACGGAATTTCTAGATTGGGTCGCTGCGCTCAAAGTCCACGATAAAAGCTATGCAATAGTTTAATAACTATAAAGACAGAAATAAAAATAAATTCTGGTCATTATCTTAATCTAAATTTCGGTTTGGGTTTGGGGGGTACGACCACTCACCTGAACTTGGTGACGGGCAGCCCCAGGCACCCCGGCTGGAAGTCGCAGTCCTCGGACTCGTCCTTGGAGGCGGCTTCGAAATCGTAGTCGTCTGACGAGGACTCCTCGTGCTCGTCGGAGCTGGCCCCCTTCGCACCGGATTCCTGCTGCGGAACATTATTCAGTTGTCAAGCCCTAAACACGTCATTATGGATCCTCCCGATCCACTAACGGTGTTTTTAGGCACCTCAAGCACCGTTATCATCGAACCCATCGCTTGCGACGAAGGGCTCGTTGAGTAAATTAACCCACAGACACAGCACACTGAGTTTCTCGCCGGATCTTCTCAGTGGGTCGCGTTTCCGATCCGGTGGTAGGTTTTGTGGAGCACTGTTCTTGCTAAGGTTAGCGTTAGCAACAATGTCAGGTTTGAGCCCCGTGAGCTAAGCTTGTGCCCAAAGCACGTCAGTACAACAGTATAACCTACCCGCCCGGTGACGCATGGTCTCTCAAGACCATCAGCTTAGGTAGGAAAAAAAAAGTTGTCAAACGATGAGGAAGTCTCATGTTCTGACTACAATCCACACTAGCTCTGGACTAATTCAATAAATCAGTGCATAGTTGGGTGTCGAACGCGCGACCCGCCCGACGCTGAACCGTCACCACGCGCCCGTTATGCCCACTGTTCTACCTTCACACCACCAGCAGCCACGGAGGGCCGGCGTGCACGTACCGCGCCCAGCTTCTTGTCAGCCTCCGAGATGTCCTCCTCGTAGCCCTCCTTCATCTGCTCCACCACCTCGATGTAGTCCAGCTCGGCGAGGTACTCGTCGCCTTCGTTGAGTCCGTCCTGCAAGACAAGCTGGATATAGACATGTCTATATAACACTAGGGGGAGCATGGCTTTAACCATTGAAGGTGTATATATATAACCGTTGTAACTACACTTGAGACATTAGAACTTATATCTCAAGGTGGGTGGCGCATTTACGTAGTGGATGTCTATGGGATCCAGTAACCACTTAACACCAGGTGGGTTGTGAGCTCATGCACCCATCCAAGCAATAAAAAATTTTGGTTGACCCTACGGGCACCTTGTAATGGATCTTATGTGTGAATACCCTGGCGTAACGCCGACATATACGGCTCCTTTATCATCAGTAGTGCCATCAGAAATGCCGTGATGTCATCGTGGAGGTAGGCAGCGTGAATTTATACTCCGGTGGCGACACAGTGATGGTAGAAACGAGTTGACGGGGTATTGTATCGGTGAGCGTTCGTGAGCGCGCACTAACCAAGTTAGCGGTGGCATCGGTGAGCAGGTTCCCCGCGTACACGCACAGAAAGGAGCCCTTGGGCACGTCGTTGAGCGCCCGGATGCCCCAGCCGCGGTTCTGAGTTTTGAACACCTAAAACGAACACTTCTATTACAAATTGTAACTATACTGAGACCTTAGAACTTGTATCTCAAGGTGGGTGGCGCATTTTCGGTCGTAGATGTCTATGGGCTCCAGTAACCACTTAACGCTAGGTGGGCTGTGAGCTCGTCCACCCATCTAAGCAATAAATTAATAAAAAATACTGCCTTGAGACATGAGTTCTAAGGTCTCAGTTTTTACAATACAATGGCTGCCCCACCCTTTAAATCGAAACGCATTACTGCTTCACGGCAGAAATAGTCAGAGCGGTGGTACATACCCGTCAGCCCAAACTCCCAATTTTACTAAGAGGTTAGCTCATTGAACTCCATTTCATTTCACCACCGATACAACAGTCACGGCTTCAATCTTAAATCGCAAATGATTCGGCTGTTTGTACCATGATTCCTTTGCATTTCCGACGTACGAATCAAAACCGAATATTATAGAGGGACTTATTGGCGGGAACGCGAGTAATGTTGTGTGATTTGTTTTATTTTGTCTATTTAGTGCTTCTTCAGATTTAAATGTGTAATAACGGTGGTTTATTAACTGTTTAGTACAACTGTGAATGTGCACAAATGTGGGAAAATCAAACAAAGCCGCTGGTCGTAACTTCTCGGGATCCTCCAAAGAGTCCACTGAAAAAGTCTCAGTAAATTAACCCCATTTTACTGAGATTATAGTTCATCCCATGTCATCTCATCTCATTTCATTTCATTTCGTTTTCATATTAATCAACTTCATTTCATTATATTTCATATAAAAAAATATTATAAATATATAATAGTTTAAAGTAGTAAAATATATAATAGTTAAAAAATAAATAATAGTTTAAATAAACTAATAAAATACGCTTTTATAGAAAATCCAACTAAAAAATAAAAAATAAATTTGAATTAAAAATAGTGAAAGAAAAAATGATTTTACTGTAAAAAAGCGTGTAAAAAAGCAAAATCATGTCCAAAGATTCCGTTACAAACATACATATGTCTGTAGCTAATAAAAGCGTATTAATAAGACTTGACCTAAAGGTGTAAGTTACCAGGTCATAAAATCCCATATAAAAAAAAAAACGAATAATAAAGAAAAACATTAGCTCACTTGTAACTTCAATTGCAAAGGATGCTGGGCCACCCGGTTCAGGCAAGTCTGTTTGCATTTACATCTGAAAGCATAAAGTAAAGAGATATTGAGTCTATAGCCGCCATGAGGTAATCAATCGTCTCCCGCGCCACAAAATCGTTTTTCATTGGACAGATGGGTGAACGAGGACACGGCTCGCCTCGTTTTCGAACTCACAGCCCACCTGGTGTTAAGTGGTACCTGTGGCCCATAGACATCTACAACGTAAATACCACCACACACCTTGAGATATAAGTTCTAAGGTCTCAGTATAGTTAGAACAGTTGCCCCACTCTTCAAACCGAAACGCATTACTGCTTCACGGCAGAAATAGGCAGGGCGGTAGTACCTACCCGTGCGGACTCACAAGAGTTCCTACCACCAGTAAATTATTATTTAAACACAATTATTGGCTATGGTGGGCAAGGTAGAAAGGAAAAAATCCACCGGCCACCAAACCGTTGGTCGGATCAGGTAACCGCACTCACCGGACTCTGTTGCGACCGCCCTGAGAGAAGCCGAAAACCGAACGATATGGAAGGAATATGGTACAAAGAGCCACGAAGGGCTTTCAGGGACACGACCTTCAGCAATGAAGTATGCGACTAAGAAGAAGAATGCGTTTGTAGGGTAGTTTTTTTTTTATGATTGAAAGATTACCGGTGGCCCGGAGGCCTTTCTAGTTTCACCAGGACAGGTGGGCGAGCAAAGGCTCAGCTAGGAGGGGGGGATTTGCTAACAGCTGCCCAACCGCCTCCGAAGGAGACCTAACAACTCTGCTTCGCGAATGAATCCACTACCGGATCGGAATCGCGTTGAGAAGATCTGGCGAGAAACTCAGCGGGCTGATACATGTGTTAGGTTGCACGTCGACCCTTTTTCGAGTTCGCCGAGTACGGTTACCGGGGTCCCTAAGCCTGCTCCTAGTGTTAGAGCTGAATGCAGAGGTTATTGGATCTGATGGATCCGTAAGGACGTGTTGTAGGGTAGTTAATAATTAAGGCACCTCGAATTGCACTCGTATATGCCCGAGGGCAGCGGCTCCAGCAGCCGCTTGTAGTCGTAGCCCACGTTGTGGCCGTCCAGCCCGATGGTCCGAGCGCCCTCCAGGGTCAACTGCCAGCAAGCGCACTTCGCTTTGTCCTGACGGGAAAAAGGAACCAATTTAATAATGACAAGTATGAGTAACTAGAGCCAAATCCCGGCTTCTTTGATGGCAGGTCTACCGAGCAAATATCACCCGCTCGGTGGAAGATCTTCCCTTTGTCGTGTAAGCCTCCCAAACTGGTGACCCCGACGTGATTTGAACACGCTACCTTCTGGTCTGGAGTCAGAGCCAAGTTAAGCCTTCCAAAGAGTCTTGGCGCACTCGTTAAGTGGGGTCTTGGTTCACCGGTTCCATTGCCGGTTATAAAGCTCTCCACTGACCTGACAGTCGTCGGTGCAGTCGCAGCCGCAGAGGAAGTCCGGGTCGAGGTTGAGGGGCACGCCCGCCGTCGGCGTCCGCTCGGTGTTGTACGAGCAGAACTCCGGGAGCGTCTCGTCGTAGTAGTTCACGCACGGCACGGGCACGTTCTCCTTGCCGTGAGAGAGATCCTGGAAAACGGGTTGGGAAGTTAATTCTCTTTTTTTTTACCTAAGCTGATGGTCTAGAGCAGCCTTTCCCAAAGTGGGCGATAGCGCCCCTTCGTGGGCGCTGCAGGCCTAAAAGGGGGGTGTTGTATAGACTTGAGAAGCGATTTATAATTTAATTTAGGAGGATTCTTAGACACCGACTAAGCTCTCGCTATAGTGGTTTTTAAGTAGGTGAAAAAATGGGGGCGTTAAAAAATATTTTATTCTCAAAGTGGGCAGTAGAGAAAATAAGTTTGGGAACCCTTGATCTAGAAAGATCATGTCAGTGTCACCGGGTTAATAGGTGAGCTCACGGGGCTCAAACTTTACGGTGTTGCTAACACGGACTCTAGCAAGAGCCGTGCTTCGCAGAATCTACCACCGGATTAGAAACGTGACCCACTGAGATCCGTCGAGAAACTCAGTGGGCTGTGTCTGTGGGTTATTTAATTCTCGTGTCGATATCGAGCGTTAAGAGCGCTAAGATGTTCCCTAGCGCCCTCTAGTAAGCGCGCGGTCAAAATAGAATAGGTACGAATGTAACAGGTTCATTAAGAGTGCCGGGTCCAGCGTCCCCACCCTGCACCATTGGTAAAGTACGTAGATACGAGATAGCGAAAGTATTTTAAAAATGAAGATCACTGAAAAATGAAGCGCGACAGAAGTGACACTTCTGTCTTAGAATCTTTAATTAAGCATTTTCATTTTTTTGTTTTTCAAATCTTTTGTTTCGTCTTGAAAACTTTAGGGCTGTTGACCTCGTTGAACTGATTTTATATGTGCTTCGACACATCAGACGCGATAGTTTAAAATCATCTATAAGAAGTAAAACTTCTGTTCACAATACTGTGGCTGTTCATAGACATAGGTTCATAGGCATTCATAGACTGTAGGATATTTAACAGATACTTGAATCTTGCCTACGACATCTTTAAAGTAAGCTTACGTATATTTCGAGCCGTCGGTCTACCGAACAGTTTCACCGGCTCGATGTAAGATCCTCCTTTTGTCGTTACCTTCAAACATACTATCAGAGAAGTTGCACTTCTAAATAATATTAATTCAACAATATCATACCTTCTTGCCGACGATGCACTTGTTGATGACGAACTCGGCGAGGCAGTGCGTCGCCGGATGGAAGTCGAACAGGTCGACGGGCATGTCACTGTCGGTGGCGGTGAGGTAGGCGTGCAGCTCGCGGATGTCACGCACGCGGCGCCCGCACGGCGCCCGGTACATCACGTCACGGACTCCTTTGTACCGGACTATTTGTCTGGCGCACGATCATCAATAAATCATTATTGTCGCCGACAGAGCCATCTCGTAACGAGCAGTCGAAGTACTATACTATAGACCAGTGGCTCTCAAATTTTACTTTCAATAATACTACTACCACAGTTTTTAGGCATAGAAGACGAGACTGTAGACCAGTGACTCTCCAATTTTACGTTCAATATTAATACTATCATAGTATTTAGACATAGAAGACGAGACCGTTGAGGACCAGTGGCACTCAAATTTTATTTTCAATATTACTACTATCATAGTATTTAGACATAGAAGACGAGACTGTAGACCAAGTGGATCTCAAATTTTACGCTCAATATTACTTCTATCATAGTATTTAAGCGTAGAAAACGAAACTGTAGACCAGTGGCTCTCAAATTTTACGTTCAATATTACTCTATCATAGTATTTAGGCATACGAGACGAGACTGTAGACCAGTGGCTCCCAAATTTTACTTTCAATAATACTACTATCATAGTATTTCGGCATAGAAGATAAGACTAGACCAGTGATTATGCATAATCATTAAGCAATTGAGACCTTAAGCCTCAATACGGCCACATTTGCGTCGTGATGTCCACAGGCTACTTATTCTTTCACCATGGAAGTCAACCGTGAACATTTATTAAGTACGTATTTCATTAGAAAAATTGGTACCCGCCTGCGGGATTCGAACACCGGTGCATCGCTACATACGAATGCACCGGACGTCTTATCCTTTAGGCCGCGACGACTTCAAAATTCGACATTCACTTCAGTCTCCCAAACAGACTCAGTATCACCGACTCACCTCTCCCAGCCGCTGAGCAGAGGCTTCGCGAGCGGATTGTAGGTCCTGAGGTCTTTCAGAGCCAGAACGTCGGTTCTCTTGCACTTCGGACCGCACGTATGTGACGTCATCCTGAGAGGTTTCACTGCGTTCTTCGGGGTGTAGTACTGTGGAACGAGATGCAGGATTCAGAGGGGGTGGGGAGAGGGGGCGTGGTGTGACCGCGCGGCTAACTACCACTTCCACCGCGAATCAGCCACGCGTCCCGTTTTTAAGGGTGGGGCGAGCTCTTGCACAGTATCATGGAGACATAGACCTCACGCCTCAAGGAGTCTCACAGCATTGGTGTTGTGATATCCACCGGTTCCGATACTCAACCAACACGGGCCACTAGACTTATCCTTAATAAAGATAAGAATCTTCTAAAATGTACTGGGAGATACTTCAATATAATTCAATGAAAGCATTAAATTACCGACAAAATTAATCTGTTGAATTAATAATAAAAATAATAATAAATTATTTAACTGGTAACGCCCAAAATCTCTCAAAAGCTTCTAACACATCTTGCCCTAACAATAAAAATTAAATCTCACCACTACACGGCTGATGACAGAGTCCAAATTGGCTTGTTGTTCGACTGGAGGCGCGCTCTGCGGCTGCGCGGTCGATTTCTTTGCCACAGCCCGCTGTTTGCGTATATCCTAAAAATGAAATAAATGGAATTCATTGGAAAAGTGAGTTTTAATTACTAGTCACTATGTAACGGAATGACGTCATCATTTTACCAGCCGAATCGGTCATATATATAATTTTTTTATATATATACAGGGTGTATTTTAAAGTATAGAAAACACACGTACACACACACGCACACACACACATTTACGTCTATGTCGTTTATGTCTCTTATCCTAAACATTAAAAAGTACAAGAGCACAAATAAATGTTTCCAGTCATGGCGTCTCGTAAATTACACCCTGTATGTTAAATTATTTATTTCTTCATCCAACCTCAAATTTAAAATGTTAGCTTTTTTTATCGATCACAGTTTATTAACAAAAAGTCAAATCAAAATAATTTAACATAACTCAACCCTGTATGTGTATATACAGAATGGAGCATGGAGAAGTATAATATAAATTAGAGACTATAGTATAATAATATAATATAGTATAATATGAATAAATAAATAAACTATAACTTCATAATAGCATCAGTGAATCTTGCCATAGAATCAAACTTATTTATTTAAAGTTATAAATAAACCGTAGAAGTAAACCGTAGAAACTGTTTTTTTTTTTAAGTATATACATATAAAAAGGTACTCTGTCACCAAAGTACTTCAAATGTTAAGTGATTTATCTTAAGATAGAAGAGGTAACACTCACATCAGGTTGATCGGTTGTCTCTTTCTGCTTCTCGTTTGTTTGTTCATCTGAGCGCGTGTACTCGACGTACGGCATGTTCACCTGAGGAAATACAAAGACATAGATTATCTCATTACCACAAAAAAAGTCAGCGGCTCTCTTTTTTTACCCATTTGACCCATGAGCTCGTCCACCGATATATGCAAATAAAAAAACACAGCCCAGCTGGTGTTAAGTGGTTACCGGAGCCCATAGACATCTATAACGTAAATGCGCCACCCACCTTGAGATATAACTTCTAAGGTCTCAGTATAGTTACAACGGCTGCCCCGCCCTTCAAACCGAAACGCATTACTGTTTCACGTCAGAAATAGGCGGTGATCTTTGGTAACTACGATTGGAAGCGAAGCGAAACTTGAATACCACTCATACTCTCGCTAGTGGTAGAGTGGACACCCCGCCTCGGGAGGATGAGGAGGGCGTCACAGAGTCAGGGACTTTTTGGCGGGACCGCGATGAGTGAAGTTGTGTGATTTGTTTTATTTTGTCTATTTAATGTTTCTTCAGGTTTAAGTGCGGATACCGGTGGTTTATTAACTGTTTAATATAACTGTGAAAGTGCACAAATGTGGGAAAATGAAACAAAGCCGCTGAACGTAACTTCTCGGGATCCTCTAAAAAGTCCATTGAAAAAGTGTCAGCAAATGACCACGATTTTACTGAGATTATATTTCATACCATATCATCTCATCTCTTTTTTTATTACTCTTGTAAGCAGATGAGCATACGGCCCACCTGAGGGTGAGTGGTTACCGTCGCCCATAGACATCAACAATGCCAGGGGCAGAGCCAAGCCGCTGCCTACTGCTTAATATTCTCCACAAGCCTCGTTTGAAGAAGGACATGTCATAGCGCTCGGGAAACACCGTGGAGGGGAGCTCATTCCATAGCAAAAAAGACCTCTGGAAGCGTACTGTGGATGACCGCAGTGGCTCCAGGTAGTATGAATGAACTCTACTCCGGTGGCGGGCGGTGCGATGGTAAAAACGAGATGAAGGTATCATCTCGAACAATTCCTCAGAGCACTCCCCATGGAACATTCATTTCATATTCTTATTTTTAATAAAAAAAAATTTATTTTTCATAAAAATAAGAATATAAATTTAAAAAAAATGACTTGTCCTAAGTTACCAGGTCATATAATCCCTTAAAAAAAAATTATCCCCGAGTCAGTGGCGGCATTCACTTCGTCCGCTTGGAGTGCAGTACTCACTTTGCTCTGTGCCATGCTCCGGGGCAGCGGCCTGGTCCTCTGCCGCTCGGCCGCCTGCAGCTCCAGGTAGAGCGGCGCCAGGCGCGTGGAGCCGCGGTATATCCATTCGGTCCTGTTTATCTTCTGGAAGTACACGTGAGCTAGGGACGCGTCCACTTTTAGAATTGTCGATATCCACCACTTTCCTGTGAAAAGAGGGGGGTAGTTAGTTTAACTTTTTGTTTTTTATTGCTTACATGGGTGCACGAGCTCACAGCCCACCTGGTGTTAGGTGGTTATTGGAGCCAATAGACATCTACAACGTAAATTCCGCCACCCTCCTGGACTGCTTCACGGCAGTAAAGTTCAAAGGTTTTTTTTTTCTAAGCTGATAGCCTAGCCTAGAGAGGCTATTTCAGCTTCTCCTTGACGTATAGGTGAGCTCACGGGGCTCAAACCGGGAGTGTTGCTAACACTGGCCCTAGCAAGAGCAGTGCTCCGTAGAATCTACCACCTTTAGGGAACGCGACCCACGCGAGAAGATCCGGCGAGGAACTCAGTGGGCTGTGTCTATGGGTTAATACACTACGTCGCAAGCGAATCAAAGGTATTCGACATTTCACTAACCACAAGATTATCATGTGTGTCTGAAATATATGAAGAAACTTTAAAGCTCACCGTTCCATTCGGTCTTGAGGCTCTGTCCGGCATGCAGCCTCACCATCGGCCTCTCGGGATAGCTCAGGAGGTACTGCTTGACGAATTCCCTTGAGAACGCGTGCACTTCCTCCCAGACCAGGTTCGAGCACTCACATACTACCCTAGTATCGGGATGGGCCACGTACTGGGCGTATCCGTCGTCGAAGAATACTAGGTACCTGAAAAGTGATATTTTTTTCATTATCAATTATAATGAATAATTACTAGGAGATGTATGGAAATGGTTGTGCAAGGTAGAAGGGGAAGGCAGAAGGTAGAAGGGGGAGGTAGACATGGATGGAGTGTGTGAATGACGATATGAGAGAGAAGAGTGAGTGTTGAGATGACAGCTTATAGAGGAGAATGGAAGAGAAAAATACGCTGTGCCGACCCCACCTAGTGGGATAAGGTGGAAGCTGGTTTTTACTGGTGGTAGGACCTCACGGGTAGGTACCACCACCCTGCCTATTTCTGCCGTGAAGCAGTAATGCGTTTCGGTTGGAAGGGTGGGGCAGCCGTTGTAACTATACTGAGACCTTAGAACTTATATCTCAAGGTGGGTGGCGCATTTACGTTGTAGATATCTATGGGCTCCGATAACCACTTAGCACCGGGTGGGCTGTGAGCTCGTCCACCCATCTAACCAATAAAAAAAAAGGCAAAATATTAAACGGTAGGCAGCGGCTTGGCTCTGCCCCTGGCATTGCTGAGGTCCATGGGCGACGACAACCACTCACCGTCAGATGGGTCGTGAAAAATAATAATAAACTCTAAGTACTCACCGGTAATTATTAACTGGATTCGGTATTTCGGCAACGACACCCGAGTAGTAATTCTCCATTTTGCTCTTAGTGGTATTCTTGAATAGAGCTATTATTCGCGTACCTGGTGTGCGATACGATATAAATCAAATTAATTAAAGATTTTAATTAATTATGATATTTAATTAACGTCGAACACAAGATAATTGATAAGACACCTGAATTATTACATCAAACAAGGGTTGACAAGCTCTGAAGGTCTGACTTAAAAGGAAATTACATTTTTTATAACCCTTTGACTATCGTGTAGGTCACCGGTGTCCTACGCGGCGCACTGAAGTAATTATGTCGATTTCTGTCACTTTTGTTAGCACTAAATGACCTGAGAAACTGAGAACTCATGGTACTTAAGTTCAGTATAAACTTTTTTATTTACCCTCCTTTTTCTCTTTTCCTACCTATTCTGATAGCTTTAAGAGGCTATATCAGCGTTACCTTAGCGTGTAGGTGAGCTCACGGGGCTCAAACCTGACAACGTTGCTAACACTGGCCCTAGCAAAAGCCGTGCTTCAGCGCTTCTTACTGGTGGTAGGGCCTCTTGTGAGTCCGCGAGGGTAGGTCCCTAGTTAAGGTTACGCTGGAATAGCCTCTCAAGGCTACCAGCTTTTGTAGGATAAAAAAAAAGCGGGTAGGTACCACCACCCTACCTATTTCTGCCGTGAAGCAGTAATGCGTTTCGGTTTGAAGGGTGGGGCAGCCGTTGTAACTATACTTGAGACCTTAGAACTTATATCTCAACGTGGGTGGCGCATTTGCGTTGTAGATGTCTATGGGCTCCAGTAAACACTTAACTGTGGTGGGCTGTGAACTCGTCCACCCATCTAAGCAATAAAAAAAAATCTACCACCAGATCGGAAACGCGACCCACTGAGAAGATCTGACGAGGAACTCAATGAGCTGTGTTTGTGGGTTAATTAACTCGCCGGGGCTCCAATGACCGGGCGTGATTTGATTCTTCTTTATTTACGACGGCTTAGTGGATTCCACCAGGCACTCACCTATAGTGAGTCTCGCGTTTGGCGGCTCCGAATGCGCGAGGCACCTCGCACTCAGGGTCCTGAACGGGTTCTTCGTTTTCGTGTCGAACTTGACAGTACAGGTCGTGTACGCGCTTGTGGTCTGAGGACAGGATAATGAAGGTCTGATACCGCTCTGAGATCTAGGATCTCCCAGGACCTCCTCCTACAGATACATCCTACATACACCTCCGAAAACCGAAGGTTATTGTAGACCGTAGATTCTCTCCGAGAAATACCTCGACTAACTTCGGCTTTGAAGTTAGTCGAGGTATTTCTCGGAGAGACTTTTTGGCGGGAACGCGATGAGTGAAGTTGTGTGATTTGTTTTATTTTGTCTATTTAGTGTTTCTTCAGGTTTAAATGCGTAATAACGGTGGTTCATTAACTGTTTAGTATAACTGTGAACGTGTACAAATGTGGGAAAACGAAACAAAGCCGCTGGGCGTAACTTCTCGGGATCCTCCAAAAAGTCTACTAAAAAAATCTCAGTAAAGGGGACCACCATTTTACTGAGATTATATTTCATCCCATATCATTGCATCTCATTTCATTTCATTTCTCCCCATATTATCATTTTTCATAAAAATAACAATAAAATTAAAATAAGACATGACTTAAAGGTCTTAGTTCCCAGAACATAAAATCCCTTTAAAAAAAAAGTACTTCTCGAAACTTACCGACTTTGGCGCGATGTCCTGTATCCTGACCTTCACCCAGGGGGAGAAGACGTTCTTCATAGCCCACACGACCATGCCCGGCTTGAGGGGCGGCCGCACGAGCTCCCCGGGCGGGGGGAGGTCCGGCGGCGCCACCTCCGCCGACAACTGAACGACAGACACCTCCCTCTGCGAACGAGACTTATTTGTCAACTCTGTGACATTCGCAAACGTCAAAGCTGAAATTCCGAGTCCGGCTCCTGAGCCATTAAAACTTCTTTACGCACGGAGATAAGCTGGTGAGTGCGTGACGAGAGCGTTACGAAAAGTGTGATCGGACGAAGCGCACGGAAGTTGAGAGGGACAGAGAGATATATATATATATATGAGGCCATTAGCGCAAAAGTGGCCTAACCCACATTTTTTTATATTCAAGCTCATATGACGTAAATTGGAATTTATTTAAAATATAATAAATTTTGATGCAAAACCGGCCTATCGATAGCTTCATCCATATATAACAGATAGCTTTGTAAACATTATTTTTGCGCGGATTGTTTTTTGTTTACTCAAATTTAAATTCATGAAAATTCAAACCTAATTACCTCCATACTAACAATGATAAGCTTAGGCCAGTTTTGCGCTGATGGCCACATATATACTTGGATATATATAAGATAGAAAGAGAAAGTTGCGTTTCGCATATCTGAGCATATAATAAATTTTAATAATTGTAGAAAATTTATATAGAATAGAATATTATCGAAGCGAAATGGAGGAAGCGAATTGTGAAGTGTACCTTAAGTAAGTGTTAAATAGAGTTCTAATTTGTACTTCGGTGAAAGTTTTATATTCATTCTTTTTTTAGAACTTTAGCGCGTGACAATATAATATTTATTCCATACTCACGTCATCTTCCTTCGACTCGTTGGGTGCTGTTTCTATTGGGGTCTTCTCCTATGAACAAAAGAGATATGTAGAGTGTCCATGAAGTACTCGTGAAGTTTGGGTCTACAAATGTGAACCACAGAAGTCGAAATGTTCGTGAAGTCGTCGTGGCCTAAAGGATAAGTCGTCCGGTGCATTCGTATGTAGGGATGCACCGGTGTTCGAATCCCGTAGGCGGGTACTAATTTTTTTAAATCAAATACGTACTTAACAAATGTTCACGATTGACTACTACTATTATTAAGATACTATTGACTGTTGAATAGTTCCTTAAGCTACCAACGAATAGGTAGGGGGGGGAAATCTCAATGTGCCTAGAGAAGTTTGACTTCAACGTTGTGTCACACAAAGAAGTTTGACTTCTGCGTTGTGTCACACAGACGCGTTCCCCTGTGTTGCGGGCCTCATACCTGGGTCACGTCCGGCTGCGCGTGGTCTCCGTCGAGCGGGGCGTACCCGAGCGCTATGGCCGCCTTCTTCGGCTGCGAGCAAAGCGGCTCCGTGCGCTTGCGTTTGTTCGCACGCTGTTTCGCCTGTGTAACGAGACGAACACACCACTAATACTCACATTCACTGTTCAATTATTTTTTTATTGCTTAGATGGGTGGATTATCTCACAGCCCACCTGGTGTTAAGTGGTTACTAGAGCTCATGGACATCTATGACGTAAATGCGCCACCCACCTTGATATATAAGTTCTAAGGTAGCGAGGCTTCGGTAATAGCATCAACAATTCGATGTTTCTTTTTTTATAACTGAGCTTCAATTAAGTTTACTCCATTCAACATTTTTTACTGGTGGTAGGACCTCTTGTGAGTCCGCGCGGGTAGGTACCACCGCCATGCCTATTTCTGCCGTGAAGCAGTAATGCGTTTCGGTTTGAAGGGTGGGGCAGCCGTTGTAACTATACTTGAGACCTTAGAACTTATGTCTCAAGGTGGGTGACGCATTTACGTCGTAGATGTCTATGGGCTCCAGTAACCACTTAACACCAGGTGGGCTGTGAGCTCGTCCACCCAACTAGCAATAAAAAAAATCAAATATCTGAAGAAGTTTTGTTGTTATGATATTTATGCAAATCTTAAACTTCTGTAATGTTACAAAAATGTCGCTTATACCAAATAGCCTTTCCACCCCTCGATAATATTATAAGATAATACTACAATTATTTATTCAATAATTTTTGAAGTGAAAACTTCTTTAGAATCGTTGTGATTTCAAACCGGATGCAACGGAAAAAACGACAGGTAAGAGACACAAATACAAAAATGTGTAGGATGAAGCCAGCAAAGAATGAGACAGAAATATACATACTATTTAATACAGCGCCATCTGTGAGATTTTTTAATATTAACGTGTGTATGAAAGCTCTAGTAGTGAATTTTAATTTAGGATTATACGGAAATTAAAATATCAATTCACAGAGGGCGCTACCTTACAATTATTTACTAATGACAAAATTTTACATATACTTAAGACGTTTAGGATAATTGTATTTTAATTTTGGAAGGTTTCACTTCTACCACGTGTGAATTGCACACATGTATTTTTTTTATTGTTTAATTCGGTTTACAAGTCCACAGACGCTCCGACGTTGCATCGGTAATGGAGCCCGTGGAAATCAACAACGTGAACACGCCCACATTTCGGACATTAATTCTAAACCTCGATTATGGTATCTGGTTGACTATATAGACCTCGCATTACTAGGTCTATGATCTATGGTCTATGCTTGTCCATGAATATGACTATTAAGAAAAGGAACTCACTTCATCCAGGGACTGCTCCGTACCCTCGTACTGAAAATCAAAACAATTAACCATCAGCTCTTTCCGTACTTGTGTATGAAATTAAGTTTTGTTTATTGCTTAGTTCGATGGATGAACTCCAGTCTACCTTAACCAAGGGTTCCACCTGGTGTTAATCCCATAGACATCTACAAAGCACATGCCACCACCCAACTCGAGACATGAGTTCTAAGGTCGTCGTCGTGGCCTAACGGATAAGACGTCCGATGCATTCGTGCTGAGCGATGCACCGGTGTTCGAATCTCAGGCGGGTATCAATTTTTCTAATGAAATACGTACTCAACAAATGTTCACGATTGACTTCCACGGTGAAGGAATAACATCGTGTAATAAAAATCAAACCCGCAAAATTATAATTTGCGTAATTACTGGTGGTAGGACCTCTTGTGAGTCCGCGCGGGTGGGTACCACCGCCCTGCCTATTTCTGCCGTGAAGCAGTAATGCGTTTCGGTTTGAAGGGTGGGGCAGCCGTTGTAACTAAAACATGAGACCTTAGAACTTATATCTCAAGGTGGGTGGCGCATTTACGTTGTAGATGTCTATGGGCTCCAGTAACCACTCACCATCAGGTGGGCCATATGCTCGTCTGACTACAAGGACAATAAAAAAAAAAGATTAGCACTTAAGTAACTCAATATAAAGGTAAGTGTACAATAGCGCACAGCACGGCAGACGTATCTAATGTGTACAGCCCACAGTTTCCAAGGTTTCCGATGCGCTTTCTTTTTCTAAGCCTATGCTGATAGCCTTGAGAGGCTATATCAGCGTTACCCTAGCGTGTAGATGAGCTCACGGGGCTCAAACCTGACTCGTTGCTAACACTGGGCCTATGCTCGGCTGCCTACAAAGGCATTAAAAAAAAGAAAAACACATCGGACTCTTGACAGAACTTCCCGAGCGAGGTTCGAAGAGTCCACAATGAGCTGCAGCTTGGCCATACTCCGGGAACCACCCGCCATCGCGTGGACCGTACGCTCATCTGCCCACACAGGTGGAAAGGTGTATTGCAAGTGGCGAGTTCCAATTCGGTCGTCTATAACACAGGAGAAAATCACGGGGGACCGTGCTTGTTAAGCATTATTTGTTTGGTCTCGTAAGTTCTACTACTTCGGCCCCCGGTTCTGAATCCAGGACGGCGGGCGGTCCCCCGGGTGGCGAGCTGGTCCCCTAGACAGCGAGACGCTTACGTAGCAGCCGACGATGTCCACGATGCAAATGGGGGGCAGGTCGTGCTTGGTCGGCTCGAAGGTCTTGTACAGCGAGTCGCGCAGCTTGTCCGTGGCCACCTGACACTCGTTCAGCATCTGGTCGATCTCCTTGCTTTGTTCTGTGGGAACATCAACGACGGGTTACATTAGCACTAACGCCACCCCCCCCCGCCCCACCACGAGCGGAGCTCACCCACGCACCGACTTTTTGGCGGGAACGCGAGGAGTGAAGTTGTGTGATTTATTTTATTTTATTTTGTATTTAGTACAACTGTGAAAGTGCACAAATGTGGCAAAATGAAACAAAGTCGCTGGACGTAACTTCTCGGGATCCTCCAAAAAGTCCACTGAAAAAAATCTCATTAAATGACCACCATTTTATCATCACTTTACTGAGATTATATTTCATTCCATATCATCTCATCTTATTTCATTTAATTTCATCCCAGTTTATTAATGTCTCAAATTAATAATCTTCATTTCATTTCATTTCACTCCATAATATCATTTTTCATAGAAATAAGAATTTAAATTAAAATAAGATATGACCTAAAGGTCTTAGTTACCAGGCCATAAAATCCCTTAAAATAAAATCACCCACGCACCGGTCCTCCGTCCAGCCCTCGAATGAGCTCCACGAAGTTACTCGGGACATGACGAGTGCTCCTGGTACTAAGGTAAGGCCCTAAGGTCCACGACAGTAACCACTCACAATTAAGTGGTGAGCGAGTACCACATCATATCTACCCACCCTAAAGGTCTTAGCAGCGGTTAATTTAGAGAAGGTTCTTCTTCTACAGTCACTAAAATTTGGTAAGTTCTTTACATTACCCTATTTTCGGTTGACCACTTTGCGTACGGTGAAGTTTCGGTACAAGCTTGTAATAAATATCGCGGACAATTTGCGAGGAGGTTAATTAAGACGTCGGGAGACGGGTTGAGCATCAGTCGCCTAGCATCAGCGAGGGATCCTCTGAAGCCTGCTCGTCTGTTTCGTGAACTCACTTTCCAACTTCTGAACCTCCAGGTCCACGAAGCTGCGAGCCTCGTTCATCCTGGCGTCCATCTTGTATTTACTCCAAGTTTCGTTTATCAAATTCGCTAGATGCTCTTCCAGTAACCTGTTAACACATATGTACATTTATCTGTTTTTCATGTCTCTGTGTATCCATGTGACGGACTGTCGAAGTGAGAGAGAGTAAGAGTGAGTGAGTGAGTGGGTGACAGAGAGAGAGAGAGAGAGAGAGAGAGGAGAGAGAGAGAGAGGAGAGAGAGAGAGAGGAGAGAGAGAGAGACAGAGAGATATTATTTTATTGCTCTGTTGACAAGCTCCTAAAGCACGGATATGGCTTTTAAGAGTTATATCGCAATATCAATTCTAGGTTTCAATTTAGATTTTATTAATTTAACTACAGTCTCGTTGCCCCGTTACGAGTTGTGATGTGGGGCCAGGCGCCCGCCATATTATCATTTTTCATAAAAATAACAATATAAATTAAAATAAGACTTGACCTAAAGGTCTTAGTTACCAAATCAAAAATACACTACAAGATATTTGACAGACGCCTGAATCTCGCTTACGACATTATCAAGATAAGCTTGCATATATACAAGTTCCGAACAACAACATTGGGACCGTCGGTCTACCGAGCAATATCACCCTCTCGGTGGATGATCTTCCTTTCCCGGAGCCTACAGGTCCTGTCCGGGTAGGCCGGTACCAACACCAACGAGCAGTGTACTCACTTGGCTCCCTCGTCGCCGACAACCTCCTTGGCTTGCTCCGGCGCGCTGGATTCGTCTTCGGAGTCGGAATCCGATATCTCCACCAGGTTCAAGGACTGCTTCTCCATTTTCATTTCGAACAGCGGAGTGAAATTCTTCAGACCGTTCACGAGACCCTGGTTTGGATGGAGACTGTTATTTTTTCTGGTATGACAATGAACATCATTGTGATAATGTATAATAATGAGATGGAAGATTCGAAGTCGTCGTGGCCTAAAGTATAAGACGTCCGGTCTATCCGTATGTAGCGATGCATCGGTGTTCGAATCCCGTAGGCGGGTACCAATTTTTCTAAATTCTAAATTCTAATAACTAAATTCTAATCGAATTTTTCACTAATTCTTCTAATTTCTAAATCAAATTCGTAAAATTATAATTTGCTTAATCACTGCTGGTGGCGTTTTGTGGGTCCGCACGGGTAGGTACTACCACCCTGCCTATTTCGGCAGCCGTTGTACTGTAAAAACTGAGACCTAAGAACTCATGTTTCAAGGTGGGTGGCGGTATTTAAGTTGTAGATGTCTATGGGCACCGGAAACCACTTAACACCAGATGGGCCATGAGCAAGTCCACTCACCTAAGCAATAAATACTACATAGTGCATCTTACTGACCTCTGTCCTGACGGCCACCACCTCGTAGCAGGGGCGACAGATGAAGGCGTTCCTGCTGGTCTTGGCGGAGTAGTGCGCCACGGCGGCCCGGTCCGCGCGGAGCTGCGCCGCCTCCCGCCCCGGGCACGCGGGGTTCAAGCAGCGACCGGACTCCAGCTTCGACGATTCTGTGAAGACAATACCGAAATATCAATGAAGATTTTTCTTTTGATTCCTTAGATGAGTGGACGAGCTCACAGCCCTACCACCAGTAAAGTCATTTATGCCGACTCTGAGAACGTTATGGAGAGAAAAGAGGAGACCCTCATACATGAGAGCAGTTATAGGCAGGACCACGGTGCCTATCTGTGAAGGCAATACCAAAATATCGATGAAGATTCATTTATGTAGAATAGGGATCGCAGCTTTTTTTTTCTACCTAAACTGATAGCCTTGAGAGGCTATATCAGCGTCGCCTTAACTAGTAGGTGAGCTCACGGGGCTCAAATCTGATGACGTTGCTAACACGAACCCTAGCAAGAGCCGTGCTTCGCAGAATCTACCACCGGATCGGAAACGCGACCCACTGAGAAGATTCGGCGAGAAACTCAGTGGGCTGTGTCTATGGGTTAACCTCATACATGATTGCTTCGCAACAGTTATAGGCGGGACCACTAGGGTGGGCCAAAAAAACTTTTATTTTTTTTTTCTTTAGGTGCTACGAAAATATCGTCCAAGATGACGAAAAAAAAAATCTAATAAAGTTTGAGCTCTTAATATTAATGTTTAGAGGTGCCGCATCGTGATTTTTGATATCCCATTTAAATAAGACGGGTTTTTTTCTTTTTCTTTGGAATTTTATTGTATCTCAACGCATTATCGTGTAGTAAAAAGAAATACATATTTTTTTAGGGAATTAAACGGCCTACCAAAAAAGGTCTGAAATAATTTTTTGCTAAGTCAACTCGGTTAAAAGTTATTCCCAGTTAAAGTTTAACCTAAAATAATATATGATGACTTTCACAATTTTTTATACTTTTTTACCAAAAAAATTGCTTAAAAACATAAAACAACATATTTTTTTCGTTTTTACTTTCCATGTTTATTGAGAATGAAAGCTTTGAAAAATGAATTTGGTTTGATAGAAGAGTACAATAAATGCCTCACAAAAGACGAAGAACAGTTGCAATGCTCATTGCAAGTGGTTAAAAATCACCGTCAAAAATATCCTAGGTATTATATTATTATTAGATAGTGAAAAAAAAACAAGTTACAATAATAGGGACCACCCTCCCACCCTAGGGACCGCGATGCCGATCGGTGCCAGTTTCAATGCTCAAGTTGTAACCAGAGGTCAGGTCCAGATTGATAACCAGATGCCGCGACATACCCTTACCTTTAGCAGAGCCGTCTTCATCATCAGAGTCCAAATTGAAGACTTCTAGATCGGCGTCTGTTTCCTTCGCTTCCTGTAACTAAGAACAAAGCAAGGCTCATTAGAATCGACGCGTCGAGCCGAGGAGCTCATGGCGGATTGTGACGTCACCACCGACGCGGCACGTGCGTGCGAGTGAGATAGCAAACAGGCACGAATCATTCACGTCAGACGCAGGCGGAGCGGTGACAGGGGACCTTGTGAGGCCGCAAGGGTAGGAACCATCCCCTGCTTATTTCTGCCGTGATGCAGTTCATTTTGGTTCGAAGAATGGGACAGCTGTAGTACTTTAAAAACGGAGACTTAGAACTCATAACTGACGGTGGGTCGCCCAAAGCACGTCATTTCGGATCCTCCCGATCCACTAACGGTGCTTTAGGTATCTCAAGCATCGGTCCTCGTTCTCGTCGAACCCGTCGCTTGCGACGAAGAGCTCGACGAGTAAATTAACCCACAGACACAGCCCACTGAGTTTCTCGCCGGATTTTCTCAGTGGGTCGCGTTTCCGATCCAGTGGTAGATTCTGCGAAGCACGACTCTTGCTAGGACCAGTGTTAGCAACATAGTCAGGTTTGAGCCCAGCGAGCTCACCTACTAGTTTGGTGAATCTAGGATAACCCCTCGAGGTTACTAGAACAGGCAGGGAAAAAGAAGACGGTGGGTGGCGGTATTTACGTTGTTGACGTCTACGGGCTCTGATAACCACTTATCACCAGGTGAGACCACCAATTATCGAGAGCTTTTCCGGTAGTACCAGTCGTTTCGATATGTGTTTCCGCTATTTGGCAATAGATGGCGGTCTTGATGATTTATTTTATTTTTAAGTTCGAGCACTCTTAACGAAAACCCCTAGGGGTAGAATAGGGAAAAATCTGGGTTACCACAATGCTTTTGTGAGATTTAAATTTGTTGAATTGAAAAGAACTTTTATTTAGTTTTTATGAATATTAAATAATTTAATTTAGTCTCCGTTGTCTCTAGTTTTGTAACCAATTAAAGATATTGATAAGTTAATCACCTAAAGGTAGCTAAAGTTACCTAAAGTACCTTAAAACTAAATAGTGCCAGCCCTATTGAAAAACTATTGTCCCCATACGTGACCCGATTCACCCCAAAAGCCAAGGTGGACCAGGTCAAGCTAGTTTTTTAAGTTTTTGTGTGTGTACTTATATTTTTCAAAAGCCGCTGAAAATTTTTGTTGGAATTTGAAAGCGTCCCAACTCCCCGTAATCTACTGTACCTTAGTTTCGGGTATGACGAGAGATGACTCTGCACAACCAGAAGTCGTCTTTATAGTAACTTCACTGGTGTTCAACCGAGCCTGTAACAAAACAAAACAAAACTATTACTACGCGCTGGGGTTCGAGATAAATAAATGTTCCACCAAAGTACAACTAAAAACTGTATTCAACACTTAGAACACTTCACAAACACTTTAAGACTCTCAATTCCCTTGTTCCGGTTCGCTTCAGGTGATCCGTTCGCTGTTTCGCTTCGAGTAGTTCCGATTACTGACTGACTGACTGACTACAGTCGAAACGAAATCCCTAGAATCTTCGAGAATATTCCACAAAAGTCGAGCATTGTGTTTCCGCTATCTGACAATAGATGGCGTTATACTTCTCGAGCTTTCTAGGTGCTGCCAGATACTTCGATATTCGTTCGAATATACGTTATATATAATATAGATGGCGTTATTCGTACGGGCGTAGCACTATATATATAAACCCAAATTATTTCTACCAGCGGTTTTTTTAGTGTTATCAATGAAAATATAATTTTGTTTTCCAATATTTAATACGTATATAATGAAATCAAAACTTTGAGACGTAAGTGGCTAAGGTCGAATTTTGATTGAACATTACAGAGACATCGGTGTTGCAAGCAAATTGAATCGGGGATTGAATTCGGGGATTCGATTTTAACACAGCTTGAAATGTGACACTTAAAATTTTCAATTCTATAGAACAAGTTTTTTATTCTTGTTTGAGGCATGAGGCCGTGGTCTCAATTAGGTAGCACAGCGGTTGTCTCAAACTTCAAAGTGGAACGCATGATTGCTCGTTGTACATCTCATTTCTAGCAAAACAACGGTATTTCTTAACGGAAGCGAACATACTACCACTGCTTTTGTTGCTGCTGCTGCTGGTACTACTTTTTATTGCCCGTATGGGCAAACGTGCATACGGCCCACCTGATGGTGAGTGGTTACCGTTGCTCATGGACGTCAGCAATACCAGGAGCAGAGCCAAGCCGCTGCCTGCCGTTAACTAACCTACTACTACTACTACTACTGTTACTACTACTACTACTGCTATTACTACTACTACTGCTATTACTACTATTGCTACTAGTACTACTACTGTTGGTACTACTAGTACTACTATTACTACTGTTACTACTACTGCTAGTACTACTACTACTACAACTGTTACTACTACTGCTAGTACTACTACTAGTACTACTGTTACTACTACTGCTAGTACTACTATTGCTATAGTGCTACTACTACGGTTGGTATTACTAGTTCTACCACTACTACTGTTACTACTACAGCTAGTACTACTACATCTCTCAAGCTGCCCAGTGCGCAGTCCGCGTTACTCATTCGCTTACCGGTTTATGTGGGGGCGGTTTCGGAACACGGCTTATAACAATCTCCCCCTCTTTCGCGACCAGCTCCGAAGTACTTTCCCCGGAGCACATAACCTCGATGCCCTTGGGGATGTTCACCGAAGTGACCCCCTCCTCGTCCGGTGCCACGTCCGATCGCTGATCCGGATCCTCGTTCGATTCTGGTGGCCGAATATCTGCAAACAATACTCACTGGAACTCCATAGGAACTATGTACAGACATGACACAGAGTTACATCCCGCCTATAATATTTATGTATTTATTGTTACGCGCCAGGGCTCGGAATAAATAAAATTTTCACCGAAATAGATATTAAAACTCAACTGAACACTTAGAAAAAATTTTTTTTTGGTCAGTGTGCAATCGTCGACTTTCCGCCCTCCACTGGGGATGGCGGGCGGAGTATGTCGGAGTCGAACCGACAAAAACCTCCTGTCGCTCAACAACCCACGTCCGAGTTTCGCATGAGACAAAACACATGAAAAGGCAAAGGGGGGAAAGTGAAGTGTTTAGTGCGAAGCACATATCTCCCATCCCCTCCTCCTCGGGACGCCGGACCGGCAGTCGTCGGTGCCACGACCACCAGCCCTCTCAGTCGGCAGTTTTTTTTTTCTAACTATGCTGATGTTAAGTGGTTCCCGGCGCCCATAGACATCTACGACGTAAATGCGCCACCCACCTTGAGATATAAGTTCTAAGGACTCAGTATAGTTACAACGGCTGCCCCGCCTGTCAAACTGAAACGCATACTACTTCACGGCAGAAATAGGCGGGGTGGTGGTACCTACCCGTGCGGACTAACGCCCTGCCTATTTCTGCCGTGAAGCAGTAATGCGTTTCAGTTTGACAGGCGGGGCAGCCGTTGTTACTATACTGAGATCNCAAACTGAAACGCATACTACTTCACGGCAGAAATAGGCGGGGTGGTGGTACCTACCCGTGCGGACTAACGCCCTGCCTATTTCTGCCGTGAAGCAGTAATGCGTTTCAGTTTGACAGGCGGGGCAGCCGTTGTTACTATACTGAGATCTTAGAACTTATATCTCAAGGTTGGTGGCGCATTTACGTTGTGGATGTCTATGGCCTCCAGTAACCACTTAACACCAGGTGGGCTGTGAGCTCGTCCACTCATCTAAGCAATAAAAGAAAAAAAAGTCCTGCCACCAGTAAAAACTTAAAAACTTAAATACTAAAACTTACCATCTTCAGACGAACTCTCTTCGACCTCAACGATATTGACTACGTGTCTAGCTTTAGATATCCCCAGCTTCTTTTTCTTGCCCATGGACAGCTTACTCGGCGAAGATTTGTCTGTGTGTAACAATCTGATCTATATATGTAGATATCGGACTTAGGACCGGTATTGACCTGGGTGGCAAAGCCGGAGCTTGCTGCTGACCACGGACTGACGATGATACACTCCATTCTGACTTCGACACCGGCAACGTGCTGATGAGATAGTGATGTATGTAATATGCCTATTTCTGCCATAAAGCAGCAATGCGTTTCGATTTGAAGGGTGGGGCAGCCGTTGTACTGTAAAAACTGAGACCTTAGAACTCATGTCTCGAGATTGGTGGTGGCATTTACGTTGTAGATGTCTAAGGACTCCGGTGATCACTTAACCGATCGATGGGGAGTGGTTACCGTCGCCCATGGACTTCAGCAATGCCAGGGGCAGAGCCAAGCTGTTGCCTACCGCTTAATACTCTCCACAAGTGAAGAGAGTTGCCACGGTGAAGGAATAACATCGTGTAATAAAAATGAAACCCGCGAAATTATAATTTGCGTAATTACTGGTGGTAGGACCTCTTGTGAGTCCGCGCGGGTTAGGTACCACCGCCCTGCCTATTTCTGCCGTGATGCGTTTCGGTTTGAAGGGTAGGACAGCCGTTGTAACTATACTGAGATCTTAGAAATTATATCTCAAGGTGGGTGGCGCATTTACGTTGTAGATGTCCATGGGCTCCAGTAACCACTTAACAACAGGTGGGCTGTGAGCTCGTACACCCATCTATGCAATAAAAAATAAAAAAAAGACTCACCTCGTGCGACCGAAGCCTCGTCCACACCGCTCTCGATCTCCTTCGAAGCTCCATCGAGCTCATTGTCCGACGTATCCGATAGCTTTACTGTCTCGATATAACCTGAACCGTCCTGTAGAAAGATCCCTAATCCGTTTATACATTACATCTTGACTGATATATACATTGCCAGTCCGCGTCTACAGAATCGATGAGTGTTTTAGCAACAAATTAATGACGCCCAAAAACAAGAAGGTAGCAACTACCGCCAAATCTTTCATGTTGACAGTACGACATAACGGAATAAAAAAAAGGAGTGTAGGCACATAGATACATAGATAGATAGATGGTCTATCTTGGATGACTACAATCATTGTTCAGGCATCATTAATTTCGTTGTTATTAGCGTTTCAAATCTGACGGTGTTTCGTCACGTCAGCTGGTTTTTTTTTCTATGTCCGACACAAGCAGACGTGCTTACGGTCCTCCGCTTGATGTCGAGTGGACCGGAGCACAGAGATCACAACCTGAACGTCGTAATCCAGGTTGAGACGCGAGACGAAAGCCCCAATAGTAGTACGAATGGCCTTTTCTAGGCAGGGATCCCAACAAGATGCCCCCCCCCCTCTTGGAGGTTGTGCGTGGTATGTGGAGCTTGAGGGTATGCAAGCCAGGAGCAGGCAACGGTCCAAGAATGTTTTTAAGGCCCTACCCACTAAACGAATCCCCTTGCATTCGCACCTAATAATAATAACACGGTTGGCATACCCTTCAGACCGATTTTAATAACTTTAACTTTTGTGCTTACCAAATATCATTTACTGACCCTTTAAATTTAATGATTCCGATTGGTAATCAAACCGACACCAAGTAGTACAGTAGCCCGCATCACTAGCCACCTGACTAACGAGGCAACCGCACAAAAGCTTTATTGCAAGCTTACAATGGTAAGAACATACTTGGTATTTAGGAATGTATGTACTTACATTAACTTCTTTGTTTTCATTGATCGACTGGACCGCCGCGACAGTCTCCTAGAACATGACGATTACTGTGAACGTGCCTATGGACATCAGCCAACGCGACTTCCACAAACAGGCCGCTTAAAATGAAGTCTTTTCAAATGCAGCTAGATTCACTAAGACAGTACATGGGTTAATCGCAGAGTTTGTATTGCAAATTCATGTATTTCATTCGACAGTATACTTGAGCGTGATGTTATGATGGAGCCCATGGTCATAAACTTCACGCGACGCTCTAAATCATTATCAGTGCTCCATCCACCACGAGCAGACTTCATTTTTATCGTCTGCGTTCATCCACAATACAGTTATTGCTGCCGTAATTCCTTACACGATGTTTGATCGCCATGACACCAAGATAGTCGTGTAATGCTGGACATAAGCCTCACCCAATTCCCCCCACTGAACCCGGTCTTTGGCTCCCCCCGACCTCTTATCGGCCACCCTGGGGAAGTCATCGCACCACCTAGCCGGGGGGGCGTCCCAAATTACATTTGCAGGGTCTCCACTCAAAAACCGGTTTACTCCAACGAGGTTCTACGATATCCAGCCCATCGCTTCAACTATGCGTGGGCTGGATACGCCATGATGTGTTTGGCTGTGTTAGTTCAAGCAAAGACAAAACAATTTTACTGCAAAAATTTCGCAATCCGACCTGTATTTTAGATAATATGCAATGTTGCATAGTGCAATATGACGTGCAATTTAGTAACAATTGGTTGGGTTCTTCAATAAAATACCGATGACAATATTAGGCATTTAGTGCACACCTTGCTTAACTGGCGGTAGGCGAACGAGTGCCCTCGCAGGAGCGTCGTCCGATATCGCGCATACATACACGTCATATTGCAATATGCAACATTGCTTAATATCTACACTACAGAAGATTAAATATACCTCGATATTTTTTTGGCTGATGCCCTCTGCCTCTTGCGTGCACTTTTCATCGCTGACATTCTCATCGGAGTCAGCTTGTATTTCGATCTGACATTAGAAATATAAAGGATAAGCGGCACCATCATCGGTGATCCCAGAGACAGAAGAATTTTTTAGGAACGTGATTATTATTCCTTATTGTAATAAATAATTAACTTTTATGTTCCGGCGAACATATGACTGGTCTTTAATTGAAATGAAAATTATGCGTTCTTAAAGAGCTCTTTGCAGTGACGAATCAACGTTGCGAAGCACTGCTCTTGCTGAGGCCATTGTTAGCAAACTATCACAGGTTGATCCCGTGAGCTCACCTCTCCGGGTAACTGGAATAGACTCTTAGGCTAACAGCGAATAGTTAGAGGAAAAAATATGCACACACCAACACACACACTACAGATTACATAGTACAGATATATCCCGTACGTTGCGACATCAAACATTGTCTACGCACTATTCACCTCATAGTTACAAACGATCCAAATCTGACGGTGTGTTTGTCACATAGTTGTTTGTTTAGTTATCGGATGACGTCATTCACCTAGACACCTGAGGTTGAAGTTTCAATTGTATTTTCTAAAGCCTGCCTCTTCCTTCAAACCAGGGTACGAGGAAAAGCGGCAGATGTGGTACTTGCTCGTTTCGACTTACAATACCTTCTCCCACCACTAATTACGCAAATTTATTATATGACTCTTTTTTTTTTCTAAAGCTATTCCTTCATAAACTGTTCTCACGTCACCATAAATAAAGACAGTTACCTCTTCAGACTCTACTGTGTTAAGGTTCGTCGCGATAACGCCGTCCTTCTCACTCTCATCTTTAGTCGTATCGCCGCTCTCGTTCTGTTCCCTTCCGCAGTCGGGGTCCGAATTTTGATGGTTTGAGTCTTCAGAATTATACGCTGTCATTTGATTACTGCTCTCTGGTGAAATAAGTGTTTAATGAAAAAACAAAAGCGCTTGTGGACTTGTGGCCCGAGGGCATCAATCTCGTATTTGTAATACAGCTGAGACTTCTGTCGTATGTATTTTAGATAAAACCAAATCATGTTAATTTTTCACTATTGCGCCAGTAATAAAAAAATGGCTATTTTCTTACCATCATTATCAAAATCGTCCTCATCCTCCACGTCGTCTTCATCATCCGGCTCTTCTTCATCTTCGTCCATCCTCGATGACTCTGCCAACAACCCCAGACTGTCCGTCGCCTCCGATAACACTGATTCAACCATGACCTTGGAAGTTGATGGTTTAGGTTCAAGAACACTTTGTTCGTCCTGCTTCATTGGTGTACAAGGAGCCAATTGTTCCAGTTCTGGACTACCCGCCGGTTCCATTGCTGCTCTTGAAGTCGACGGTTTAGGCTCTACTGTTTCTGATATAAGAACATCTTTCACAGCGCCCAAAGATGTTTTATTTATATGTAAATCACGAGTAGATATCGTGTCTACATTTGGATTCATTTCCGACACATTTCCTACAGGGTTTAAGTTCTTTGATATAGTCAATATGGGTTCAGCATTATTTATTTCTAGAGGCATATCAACATCCATATGATCATCAGTATTTTTAGAATTTTCACTATCGCTATTTTTAAAATCAGCTTTAAAATCGGAAGTGACATTTTCATTAGAGACATCTTTATCAGACCGATTTTCAGCTTTTTCTGTATTTCGTGTAAGACCAGAAGTCTTAGTGCACATGGGATTATCTGAAATCTCAGTCGTATCTATAGTAAGTATTTCTGCTATAGGACCTTTATTATCTGTATCCCTATAATCAAGTCTATCATTAATTTCTTGAGTGATATTCATTGTATTATTGAGATTCCCATCATCAGATGCCGCTTGACTGCTGTCTTCGGCATCATCGATGTCTATCAACTCTTGGGTCGGTATCTCCAGCATGGCATTTGGACGGTTCAAACCATGTTCCAAATTTGCCCCGATTGGCAGAGTTGTAGATNCTTTATTATCTGTATCCCTATAATCAAGTCTATCATTAATTTCTTGAGTGATATTCATTGTATTATTGAGATTCCCATCATCAGATGCCGCTTGACTGCTGTCTTCGGCATCATCGATGTCTATCAACTCTTGGGTCGGTATCTCCAGCATGGCATTTGGACGGTTCAAACCATGTTCCAAATTTGCCCCGATTGGCAGAGTTGTAGATACATCTGCGAGGGAAGTCAAATGAGCACCCAGACTAGTGAGTTTATCATTAGAAGCGTTGACATTCTCTTCGGGATCCTCATTGACAATTGCAGTCGTAATCACTTGGCTTTGGTCTTCACTAACGATTGGTACTATTTTATCATCTTTATTCGAAATCTCACTAGACACCACAAGATCCAAGTCAGCTTTTTGGCTAAAATTTTCACCCATAGCACTACTAACTCCAGTTGGCTCTAATACATTTTCATTTGAAGTATTATTTGAATCTGCAACAATTTCGATTTCATCTTGAGTCATGTTTTTAGGGCTCTGTGCTTCATTTGAAATGTTTACAGTAAAGTTACCTCTCTCAACGTTACTATCATATTGATTACCCTTTGGATTTTCACTTGAAATTAGTGTATTTTCATCAGTTTTCGCTTCAGATTGAAATACTTGATGTGTGTGTTGTGCTGTATCTGAAACCACACCTTCGGCGATATTCGCTTCAATAATTTTCATTTGATTATCTTCAGGAATTTGTGGTGAATCTACAACACTTTCACTGCTTATATTTTCATTTTTAACTAGATTCTCCTGTGCTGACTTTCCCATAGAAACTTCAGTTTCACATAACTCCATTTCAATATCATTAGCAAAACCAGTGACCGTAATTTTATTAGTTTCATCCGTTAAAGTGAGTTCTTTATTTTCAGCGTATATTACAATACTACTTTGTTCAATGGATTTGTCATGATCAGTACCTGTAGAGCTTATACCAACTACATTGTTAACAGCTTTTATATCAGCAGATTCGTTTGATAAAGCTTCGTCTGCGAGATTAATGCCACAAGCTTTATATCTAGATTCTTTCAAAATACTTTGTTCCGTAGTTGCAGGTAGATCATTATCTTCGACAATTTCGATTTGACTGTTGTCTGGAGTCTCTCTAGATTTATCGTTTGAAGCATCAAATGCAATATTAGTGTAGTTAGTAATATTTTTAACTTGACTTTTACCTAAGCTTGAGCTTAAGATCTCGTCATATGTGGTTATAACTTCACTGCTATCTGAAACTGATTCACCTTGTGGTACATTGATTTCATCATTAGTTCCTTCAGCAATGGTAATTTTACTATTTGCAAGGATATCACTTTCGTCTGTTACATCACTCAGGACCATATTCGCTGTATTTGATATTTCACTTGAAACTGAATCAATAATAAAATTATCAATGTCACCAATAACATCAGTCTTTTGAATAGCCTCTGCTTTTTCATTATTAGTTATCATCCTTAGAGAATTTGCGGTCTCTGTGGTTTGAGTTTGAGATATAACTTCAAGTTTGGTTTCAATTTGACTCCTGTCTTCTGCCATTGATACTTTATTTAGTTCATAAATGTTTTCAGTAGTTCTGACTTTATCAAGATCATCTTCAACTTGTACCATTTTAGTCGAATTAGCCAAATCACTAACATTACCTGTTATATCCATATCAGAATTATCAGATTGACTTTCACCTAGGTTGACGACTATCTTTGTAGTTTTTTCTTGAGTTTCATGAATATTTGCCAAATCTGATTCTTCTATTGATGTCCAAGGTCCATCAGTACTCTCTTCCTCAATCCCAATTATCGGACTATCTGCTTGACTATTAGCGGATATTTTTATATTTTCATTGTTTGTTACAAATTTTTTTTCTGTATGTTGTTGATTTGATTTGTTGACTGAAATATTATCGGGGTTATCGCGACTATCGCCTACTGGTTCACTTACAGCTGCTACGGTTTCATCAATTTTCCTCACAATTTGTGATCCACTTATGTCAGTAACACAGTCCAACAATTCACTTGTAGTTTCTGAATTCGAATTGTCTACATCTGATGCCATTTCATTATATTCAATAACACTACTATTTCTTTGATCTTTAAGAGCTTGGACATTTTTCAGATTCTCAGAGTCGTTCTCCTCTTTTGTGGGATTAGTATTCCCAGTAGACAAATTAGAAGTGACATCACCTGATTCTCGACTACTGTATGATTCAAGTACTTTCTGTTCAACTTTACTTCCTGTGCCAGTTTCTACAAGAGGTGGGTGGACTCCAGCTTTTGACTTTATCAAACTAACTTCTTGGACTGTTGATTTGTTGATATCATCATCCTTAATTTCAGAAAACTCTAAATTGTATTCTTCATCAATATCCTCAATATTCATCAGTTCTACACCAGATATCTCNCGACTACTGTATGATTCAAGTACTTTCTGTTCAACTTTACTTCCTGTGCCAGTTTCTACAAGAGGTGGGTGGACTCCAGCTTTTGACTTTATCAAACTAACTTCTTGGACTGTTGATTTGTTGATATCATCATCCTTAATTTCAGAAAACTCTAAATTGTATTCTTCATCAATATCCTCAATATTCATCAGTTCTACACTAGATATCTCATCATTCTCATCCCATCTCAACAAGAGTTCCTCTTCTTGAAGATCAATATCAGTTGTGACTTCTTCTTCAGTGTTCCATTTTGAATTTAGATGTTTTTCATTTTCATTAACTGGTTCAATGTCAATTGATTGTGATTTTATTTTTTCTTGGGTGTCTTCTTGATCTGCAGTACTTGGCTCATTTCCCTTCTCCAGAACTGAGCTTACATCAGGTTTATCATCTGTAAGGAAATACATTTCAGATTTATTAGATTGTTCATTTGGTGTAATTACAGTAGCTAGTAGTTTGACATCACAATGTCCATCTGTTAAGGTAAATTGGCAAAATTGGAGGTTTTTTTATTTTATTGCTTTGATGGGTGGACGAGCTCACAATCCACCTGGTTTTAAGTGGTTACTGGAGCCCATAGACATCTACAATGTAAATCCGCCACCCACCTTTAGATATAAGTTCTATGGTCTCAATATAGTTACTACGGCTACCCCACCCTTCAAACCGAAACGCATTACTGCTTCACAGCAGAAATAGGCAGGGTGGTGGTACCTACCCGTGCGGACTCACAAGAGGTCCTACCACCAGTGAAAAATTTGATTGGTTGAAAAGTTTAGTTGATTAAGTTAGGTTGAGAACTATATAACAGGCCAAATTTGAAACTCTTGGCCAGCACTCAATTAAGAATTGTAGTACAAGTACAGATACAACTGTCATAATACAAAAATAAAAGTCTGATGATGCTGATACACAGTAGCCTTTCAGGAAAGAGTGGTTCCTGTATCCCAATTACTATTCCAATTGAAACAATAAGTGAGCTGACAGGTGGTGTCGTCACCACCATCTAGCAGCATTCAGACCTAGGTTTACAGAACTCATCCTTCCCGGCTGTCGGTAACTTGAAGACCTGTCGGAATTAAAACAGGATGACGCTAGCAAATCAATCACAATGATAGTTAACGAAGGCGTAATGTGGTATATTATGAACGACAATTTACAGCCACATCAACATTACAAGAAATCTGCCGCTTCTCAGCCGCGATGATTATGAATTATATTTCAACATATAATTGATAGTATACCTTTCGTTGAAGTGTTCCCAACGTTTTCGTCACCCGTCTCCATCTTTCAGTGAGTTGTTGAGAGAATTTAGGTCCCACAACAACAATATTGAGCATTCAATTGGTTGGAAATAAGCGAAACATAGTTTACGGATCGCGAATAATGGTATATATGCGAATACTGGTTTGAAGTAACATGTAAGGGCCTACTCGTTATTTATAGTTGTGTGTTTATTTCAACCATAAGTTTTCAGTGGCGCTTAGGATGATTATAATAACATTCAATCATCGAAAACATCTATTAAATGCAAAACAAGTTTTTATTTTGATTGACGGCACACGCTGTTCGAGTGAGTAGTTATAATTTTCCAACTGCAAAGGCAAAGGTATCGTACGATACAGCCTAGTCTTTTGTACATTCTTTTTTAATGAAAAATAATTTAATGCAAAATCAAATAAAGCAAGTATGGCATGAAATTAAATGAAATGAGATGAAATGATATGGGATAAAATATAATTATTTACTGAGACTTTTTGGAAGATCCTAAGGAGCTACGTCCAGCGGTTTTATTTCATTTCTCCGTATTTATAAACTTTCACGGATACTAAACAGTTAATAAACTACCGCTAATGTACACTCAACCGGGAAGAAACACAAAATACACAAAATAAAACAATTCACACAACTTTACTCTTGTGAAAGTTCATAAACATGGAAAAATTAAACAAAGCCGCTGGACGTAGCTTCTCGGGATCTTCCCCCGTCTCGACCTATGCAAGTGTAGTGTTCGCTCGCACGGCCCGCACTAACTTATAACCAGTCCAAGATCACGTTTTTGCAGGATAGCCATCGGAGCCCTGTGGTTCGTCAGGAACATCAACCACCATGATGACCTGGAATTACAGTCCATCAGTCCGTTAAAGCGGCATGAGACGAGAACCTTCTCATCGTGGCCGCCGGTAACTACATTCCCGATCCTGCGGATAGAATGGAAAGCAGTCGACGCGACGTCACCCAACACACATCATTTCGGATTTTCGGAGCCTCCCGACCCACTAATGGTGCTTTTAGGTACCTCAAGCACCGATCATCGTTCTCGTCGAACCCGTCGCTTGCGACGAAGGGCTCGACGAGTAAATTAATCCACAGACACAGCTCACTGAGTTTCTCGCCGGTTCTTCTCAGTGGGTCGCGTTTCCAATCCGGTGGAAGATACTGCGAAACACGGCTCTTGGTCCCTACCAAGTTCGTGTTAGCAACGTCATTGAGTTTTAGCCCTGTGAGCTCACCTACTAGTTAAGGTTACGCTGCAATAGCCTCTCAAGGCTATCAGTCCACTGAAAAACTCTCAGTAAATAACCACTATTTTACTGAGATTATATTTCATACCATATCTTCTCATCTCATTTTATTTAATTTCATGCCAATTGATTAATGTTACAAATTAATCGACTTCATTTCATTTCACTTCATAATTATTGTCATTTTTCATAAATAAATATAGAAAAAATTAAGTCATATGGTATGATACCTTTGCCTTTCCAGTTGGAAAAATAGAACTACTACTACTGTCAAAGTCAAAAATAAAATTCAAAACGTTGAAATTGCACAAATTGTTAGTTTGTACTTGTACCTTTTTTCTGATTTTAATCAGCGAAGTATTAATTATTTACGACTATTGATTATTGTAAATGAATAATACAATTAATCATAAATATAGCACTATAGTAATTCTAAAAATATTCAATCAAGCAAAAATTTGCCGGGCAAAAAAAAAACATTGCTTTTACTTGGATTTTCTCGTTAACGCAATAGAAATTAAAGACAAAATTCTATCGTTAATTTAAGGGAGACTTTAATTTCGCAATAGAAAACGCAGTGTAAACCTGAAATAAAATTATTACTGCTTGTATCTTGCATTTATTTGCATAATACAATGAATTCATTAAATAATGTGTTTTCGTCACGTATGATTGTTGGAGCGGCAATTGTCGGCATCGTAGGCGCTGCTGGCGTCTTCATATATGAACAGATGTATGCGGAAAAACGAAGAGCCATGCTAGGTTAGTAAAATTGAAATAAACATTTTAGTCATTAAAATAAGGAAATACCGAAATGAAGCTTTTAGCAGAGTTTTAAATTTCCTGCATATCAATATTTATATCGAACCAAACACTCATGGAATTTATTGAACTCTGTTGGTCTTGGGATTAATTAGAAAAAGAAGATATATTCACTTCTCTACCTCTATAAATAAAGCAAAATGTATAATTTTATGTTAAAATAAAAATGGGATATATATAATTTGGATACGATATAGTTAGTTGATGTATATAATACTACTAGAGAACGTTGGTATGAATTAAGCCAGAAATCAGCTTTCTACATTTATATGTAAATGTTTAAGCTCCGACAGATTAGATAATTGATCTAAAAAAGAGATTAATTTATTTCAAATTATTGATTTCAATTTGAACTATCCTTAGTCAACCAAGTCTTAACCAAGATTCAAATAATAGTTTAAAAAACTAACAAAATACGCTTTTATAGAAAATCAAACTAAAAACAGACAATAAATTCTAATAAATTTAAATAAAAAATATTGGTTTTCATATTTTTCAGTATATTTCTACCACAAATATTCAATTGGGGATCAGGAACCATGAAGGGAACCATTCTAATAGAATTTAAATTACCTTTTAGAAATCTGTTCCATTACAACCGTTTTGAAAATCAATTTCATGCTCATATTATAAAGTTATTACTATAATTTTTATCTTTTTTTATTGCCCTTGTAGGCAGACGAGCATACGACCCATCTGATGGTGAGTGGTTATCGTCGTCCATGAACTTCAGCAATGCCAGGGGCAGAGCCAAGCCGCTGCCTAACGCTACCGTATTTAGCTATTAAATGATTGCTTACATTCCAGTGCGAGAAGTAGCAAGATTAGATAACCAGATCGCATCAATGAGGACGGAACTCGAGAGTTTAAGAGAACTGCAGAAAGAAACGTAAATATCATATTTAGGTTCAATAATATAATTTTCTATGTATTATTCTCCATCAGTCTGTCACCAATGTTCATTTACCCTGTATAGTATTGGCAGTATCGAGATTCAATTTAAGGAGCTCAGTATATACTGTAGAGACCGAGTTTCTTGCCGGAACTTCTAAGTGGGTCACGATTTTGATCCAGTCACGGGTACAATGACTAGTCTTTGTTGAGCGAGTATTAGAAGTGCAGTCAGGTGCGTCCCTGAGAGCTGACCCACTTGTTTGCACATGGAATAGCCCATTAGGCTACTAATATTGAAGCTAAAAATTTTTTTAGAGTCTATTAAAAGCCTGCTATGACACAAATGACCAAGCTGCCTATTACTTGCAAAGTTGTTTTGTGCTTCTCCTTGTAACCATATTGCGCAGCCATTCTACGTCATTGAAACATTGAACTCAAATATGATAAAAAAAATATATATTGTGTTTGAAGCTGACTGCTAGTGGTTGTCTGGATTATTGCCATAAATTTATTAACAACAGTAACATCAGAATGTCCTGTAATCTAGTTTCATTTTTAATGCAGACACCTTCGGCGAGTGAAACAAAAAAAATCTGGCAGACCTCGACCTGAAAGGGCTCCAAAGAAGTCTGCACCAAGTGGAGATGTTGTTGATGCACCGGAACAGAGCTATGCATCGGACTCTGAATATTACACCGATTACCAATCTATAGGTGGTAAGTAAATAGATGATAAAGCATTTATAAATTGAGTTAGTGAAGAAATGAAATATAATTGAATTTCACATAAAACACAGCAACTTCTCGGTCAAAGCTTTCATAATAATGTTATAAAATACCTTCTGTCTCCTGTTACTCACTTTTTGTTGATTCCTACCTTAGGCCGTAAGGGTGTTTAGTCAATCTAGACAAATTGGTATGATCGTATTATTTGTTTCATACAATACAATTATATTCGCGTATAAATATTATAGGGTAATCAACTGATGTAACTAATATTTCAGGAGGCTTCATATTCTGTTGTCAGATATATGTTTTGAGCTGAATGTCATTGCTCTCTCACCAGGTGTAATGATTATTCAAGTGGTGGTTTTTTATTACCTGATCTTTTAAGACCACCTTTTTTTTTACATTGCCCTTGTAGGCAGACAACCATATGGCTCGCCTGATGGTGAGTAGTTACTGTCGCCCATGGACTTCAGCATTACTGGGGGCAGAGCCAAGCCATTGCAAACCGTTAAGTACTCTTTACAATCTTTGTTTGAAGAAAGACATGTCATCTGCAATGCATGGGCTACTTTTTTTTTTATTGCTTAGATGGGCGAACGAGCTCATAGCCCACCTGGTTTTAAGTGGTTACTGGAGCCCATAGACATCTACAACGTAAATGCGCCACCCATCCTGAGATATTATAAGTTCTGAGGTCTCAGTATAGTCACAACGGCTGCCCCGCCCTTCAAACTGAAACGCATTACTGCTTCACGCCAAAAATAGGCAGGGCGGTGGTACCTACCCGCGCGGACTCACAAGAGGTTCTACCGCCAGTATGCTTACAGCTTGGTCAATTAATACTATCAATTTCGTTTTGGAAGCAATTTCTTAATTTCCGTATTGCACTTTTATGTTTGTTTAAGGAACCGATGCTGAGATGGACAGTGAGGAGTTCTATGATGTTCACACGGATGATGATGATGAGGATGATGACACATTGAGAGCATCCATTAGAAATGGTCTCATGGCTAATTTGGAAGAGGTATGTAGATATGTTGTGAGCAAAAGTTTTGATAAGAAATCAGCCCACAGACGTCCACTGCTGGACATAGACCTCCCCCAAGCCTCGCCACAAAGACCGGTCAAAATTTTTAAAGCAGTTCAAATTTATATTGGTCTAAGTTTGAATGCGTTTGGAGCCTCTGGGTCTGCGGAGGGACTTCGGTTCCCTCTGTATTTTGTACCGTATGTTCCATGGGGAGTGCTCTGAGGAATTGTTCGAGATGATACCAGCATCTCGTTTTTACCATCGCACCGCCCGCCACCGGAGTAGAGTTCATCCATACTACCTGGAGCCACTGCGGTCATCCACAGTGCGTTTCCAGAGATCTTTTTTGCCACGTACCATCCGGCTATGGAATGAGCTCCCCTCCACGGTGTTTCCCGAGCGCTATGACATGTCCTTCTTCAAACGAGGCTTATGGAGAGTATTAAGCGGTAGGCAGCGGCTTGGCTCTGCCCCTGGCATTGCTGAAGTCCATGGGCGACGGTAACCACTCACCATCAGGTGGGCCGTATGCCCGTCTACCTATAAAGGCAATAAAAAAAAAAAAAAAAAAAGAATCAATTTTTCCTTCAGTATTTTGAATACACAGGATAAGAATAATCCAGTAATATTTTGTGGGTTTTTCGGCGGTAGGGATTTTATTATAACTGTTCTATATCATCTGATAAGATAGTGGATTTGCTGATTGTCTCGGGGAGCCCAGATGTGTAGCCGGATATTTCACCACCCTCAAGCACACTAGGAACACGAAAGATCCGGTAAATTAAAAATATTAAATACAAAAGAAGGAGTGCCTTACAGCAGTAATGTGTAGGATGGACGTAACAGGCCTTCATTTAAAACTACACTTCCAAAGCTAATTGAAGGACGGCTAAGGTTGCACAAACAATTCAAGTAGTTTTAAGGTTTTACTGGTGGTAGAACCTCTTGTCTGCTCGTTTCGTTTTGAAGGGTGGGGCAGCCATTGTAACTATACTGAGACCTTATAACTCATATGGGTGGGTGGCGGGATTTGCGTTGTAGATATCTATGGGCTCCAGTGGCCACTTAACATTAGGGTGGCTGTGAGCTCGTCCACCCATCTAAGCAACAAAAAAAAAGAAAAATGCTGTGAGTGGCAACATGTTCGTTTTGCTTCCATTATACTTTTGGATTGAGAGTCAAGTCAGGAGTATGAAGACTACCTAAGCTCTTGTACATGTATATTTAATTCTATATTCTTTTCAGGATCCATTGGATAAGAATGACAGTCCAAAACTATCGATAAGAAATGCAACTTAGCTTTAAATATATAAATAAGGTATGTAACTTAAATTATTTTGTTGACAGATTGTAGAGATTTATATATAGATAGATTTATATAGAAAATGTGAGGTTTTGCAAAAGTACACACTGGCCTTGATTTGAAGTTGAAAATCCCATAAGAGAGATATGTTTGACGATATTCAAATAAATTATAAATTGAACACCAAAGGGCTTTCATTGAAAATTATTTACATGTAATAATCATATAAGAATACTTCCCATCTTACTCTGTTAATATTATTCATGAAAAGAAATTAAAAAATAAGTAGATATTATTATAGTTTAAATTTATTGAAAACTTTTATTATATTGAATAAAACAGTCTTAAATTTATTAGAATATCTGTATCAACATTAATAATGAAAATTATTTAATTAAAACATTTTCCATTTTGTGAGCCGGTTCCTCAACAGACTGTTCCTGTTATCAAAATATGCATTAATCGTTGACACCATAATGATAATGTCAATTTTTTTGTTTTCAGATTGTAACGAAAGACTTTTCGTACGGGATCGGTACGCTAGGAATGGATATTAGCATTATTATACATTTACATAGAAATAAATACATATAGTCGTTGTCAAACTAAAATCTGCTTTGAGCACTTTTCAGATTTTTACTTTTTGACCTTTTCGTATAGTTCACAGCCCTATCTACCGTATAAAAAAAAACTGTTATGCGTCTATAGCTTTAATATTTATCTATAGCTTTCATTTGATATAGTTCTTATAAGTTCACCTTCATATAAAATTTTATATGAAATTTTGTTTTTACTCGTTAATTCAAAATTGTGATTTTGCACATTGCAGATTTTGGTTTGACAACGACGATATTTTAATGATACAATTGATGAATGGATTTGTCTGGGCTGAACCTTTGCTCAGTATCCTTCAAATGAGGCTCAAGGAGAAGGTTCTACAGGAAGTTGAGGGGCGGCGTCCGGCTTCGCTGATGATGGTTGGCGATGGTGACCACTGCGCATCGGATGGTCGATATCATCTTTAAGAAAAACTTAAACATAGAGGCTATCCTGATTGGACGAAGCAAGCAAGGATTTCGTTTTAAAATGTCTACAACTGTGTAGCGTGTAGCGCCATCTGTACACAACTAAAGAAAAGTGAATTTAGTTGATGAATAGTTTGAACTCAGGCAATTACTGGTGGTAGGACGTCTTGTGAGTCCGCGCGGGTAGATACCACCGCCCTGCCTATTTCTGCCGTGAAGAAGGCGTTTCGGTTTCAAGGGTGGGGCAGCCGTTGTAATCTCGAGGTGGGTGGCGCAATTACGTTGTAGATGTCTATGGGCTACAGTGACCATAAAAATATAAATAAGGTTACATCATTTTCTGATGCCGGTTAAAATAAAACCACAGATTACATTAAATTGTATTGATTAATCAAATAATATTTTTAATGGAAAAAAATATTTAATCAATTTGAATTTTTTTTTATAAATGTATTTGCGTGAATTTTACCTTAAAGCCGTGTAATTTGATTTCAATTATGGGACTATGTGTTTTTTTTATATGTAATTACTTAAATCGCCAACTTATATTGCCTGCTCAATGTACAAGGGCGCCACTAGTTACACTATGGACACTAAACAAATATGAATTACATTTTGAAGGGAAGAGTTGATTCAATACGAGATGAATTTTTATCTCAGCGCCCGAAATGAGCGATGAAATAGATATCTGCGGGTTCCGTACAATATCAGATGGGCTGTCAGTTCACTAAATACATTTATAGAAAAATGTTTTTTTTTGTTATCAAAATCAACCAATATTTAAATCGTTTACGGGGATTTTTGAAAAGTAACGACTTTATTGGCCGATTCATTGGGCCTTGAACCTCATGTCTGGAGGATTCGCGGTAGGCAGCGGCTTGGCTCTGCCCCTGGCATTGCTGAAGTCCATGGGCGACGGTAACCACTCACCATCAGGTGGGCCGTATGCCCGTCTGCCTACAAAGGCAATAAAAAAAAAAGGATCTCTCCGCTTAACATCGGGCGTGCTGCGTGCTCGTTGATCGGACTTATATGGGATGTGTATATTGTGTACATAAAATCAATTGGGTGTAATTTAGCTGGTGTCCGGTGCGCTTCGCTTCATCTATAAACCATATTAGTTGATGTTCCAATGCAGCGAAAAGCATATATAGAAAAATTCATACAAATTCGACGTTTAAGAGAGAGAGAAAGAGAGAGATTCGAGAAGAGTATTCTTTATTGTACACAAAAAAGAACATTCGGAAGATGAAATACAAAAAAAGTACAATTGGCGGTCTTATCGCTAAGAGCGATTTATTCCAGACAACCATCAGGTAGACAAGAATCATTAGGAAACGAATTACACGATGTTTGTTTCAAAAGATAAAAATTCCCGCCGCCAGCGCCCCCTGTGCGTAGATGTGGTGGTGGCGTACAACACTTTGGCCAACAAAAATCTGATAATGAAATTAAAAAATCAACCAAAAAAACCATCAACAAAATACATCTCAATCGGTTGTCGAAGACGTTACATCCAATTCCAAACAATTGAATTGTATTGAACTAGATGTGTTACATCTAGCCGGCACAGCTTCCCGATGCGGACCGCACCTCCAACACCAGAGGGCGCCACCGGACACGAAAATAAATAAAACAATTCCAATATTGACATTTTCTTTTGAGTTTCATGATTATATCATGTAATTGTTGTACACTCAATTATAGTAAATTTAATTCCTTTAATTGTACTAAGATATACATAAAATATAATAATATTGTTCTTGCTTGAAAAACATAATAACTTCATTGAGGGTCAAATTAAAACCGATAAAACGCATCGGATTGTTTTAAGTGATAACTTCTTATGTGAGGATAAACCGATTCGTAACGCAACGCGTTACGGCGCCAGTCTGTCTGCCGTCTCTTTCTCTCACGCATACGGCAGCGGTACTAAGAACCTATGTAATTCCTAACAATTTATATATCTTTTGTAATTTATGTTATAATTTTCCTTACATTATCATATTAATCTTTAATCTCTATAATATATAATAATAATGAATTGCTGTTCGTTAGTCTCGCTAAAACTCGAGAACGGCTAAACCGATTTGGCTAATTTTGATCTTGAATTATTTGTGGAAGTCCAAAGAAGGTTTATAAGGTAGATAAATATGAAAATGCTCGGAATTAAATAAAAATGACAATTTTGTTTTTCCTTTGACGTGTCCCCCGTCGGACCGATTCCTTTTGTTTGTTTTAAGTTAATTTTATACAATTTATTTATCGATTAAGGCACTACGAAGTCTGCCGGGCCAGCTAGTATGCATTAAATTTGAGTAACAACCTAAGCTTTTCTCGAGTAAAACAATTTCAATATTTAAATAGTTCAACTTAGATTTGTTTAAGTTATCACTTCTATATTAGTCTAAGGATCTCTGACTTTAATACTATGTCTATGTATAGTTTGTTGGTGCTAGCAACGAAGTCTCGACAATGAAGTTACAATACTGTCTCCACTAGATTTTTCAGTTGATGTTCGGACCATTTTGGTCTTAAAACCTCTACGGTATTAATGTATTTTAAGGGTAGGCAGCAGGTTGGCTGTGCCTCTGCCATTGATGACGTCCATGGGCGATGGTAACCACTCACCATCGTGTGGGCCGTATGCGCGTCTGTTTATAAGGCCAATAATAAAAATGTAACGGAATATGACCCTAATTGTTGTTGTGAATTGGGTTCGAAGATTCAAAACATCGCTGCCTAGCTCGCAAGTCTCGTCCTGTCAGTATTGCCATAATAAAAGGAATCAAAGTTGCCAAGATTGGGTGGAATTATATCTCGAATTTTAATATATTATTATTATTCTTTTTAATTTTTATTTGTATCACGAAATGGTGTTTTTTAATGAAAATAAAGGTTTTCAATACATAAAACTGTTTTTTTTAATGAAAAATTTTCCAGTTAAGGCGTTCGTAATAACGACTTTTACGCGGGAGAAATCACGAGGTGAGGGTAATTTATTAATGAAACGAATTGTTTTCTTTGTGTTGGAACATTATTGGTGGCCCGGAGACCTTTTCGCTTTCAACAAGACAGGTAGACGGGCAAATGCTTGAAGAAGAGATTGAGAAAAAATCTGCCATCTTATTTTCATAATCAATAATAATTTCCCGAAGCGAAGTGTGAGCGGGTCGCTAGTTTGAAATAAAAATGTGTCATTTTTTCTTCGATAAATGATATTAAAAATATAATTGACTGTATGATTATTTGGCCTGTATATTTAATGGATATATAAAACGATGTCTAGAGACTAAAGACCCCCTTTTTTTTCCTACCTATGCTGATAGCCTTGAGAGGCTTTCAGCTTCACCCTAACGTTTGTAGGTGAGCTCACGAGGCTCAAACCGGAGAATTGCTCACACTGACCCTAGCAAGAGCAGTGCTTCGCAGAATCTACCATCGGATCGGAAGCGCGACCCACTGAGAAGATCCGGCGAGAAACTCAGTGGGCCGTGTCTGTGGGTTAATTCGCTCGAGCCCTTCGTCGCAAGCGACGGGTTCGACGAGGATGGTGACGGGAAGACCCCCTTTCGTTAAGTATTACAAGCATATGTGTTGCGGTCAGACACTAACTTGCACATATCCCAGGATCCACGCAAACTATGATCGTGTAATCGCAACAGTGATATAGATCGGTAAATCGATTGTCTTATTATCTTGCCATTATAAGCTTTCTGTAATGCGTTCACGTGGCGTTCTAAGGAAAGAACGTGGTTTCTGCGCGGAAGCAAGAAGTGGACGCGTCTTTGTTAATATTAAATAAAACAACCATCACTCTGCATACTAAAACATTTATTTACGGCACATTCACACTAACATCATAAATAATTTGACTACAAAAACATTTTTAGAGTAAACAAAAATTTAACAATGTTTAATTAATACATTAGGCTCTAAAAATTGGTATTTCTGTAAATTCGATACATGATTTATTCTACTGTGACTTTAACACGATTGGTTTTGACGGTAGGCGATTGGGATATTTGTAAGCATAAGATACTTAAAAAGTCTGGATATCCGAGTTGAAAGGACCAAAGTCTGATGTGCATTTGAACCAGATGCAATATAACTTAGTCGACAGTGACGAAGGTATAGTGAAGCATTTTTTTTTATTGCTTAGATTGGTGGACGATCTCACAGCCCACCTGGTGTTAAGCGGTTACTGGAGCCCATGGACATTTACAACGTAAAATGCGCCACCCACCTTGAGATATACTTGACGCGGTTTAAATTATATTGTTAATGAAAAACAAGGAGAAACGACCTACAATTTCCCTTTGAAGTCGTCGTGGCTTAAAGGATAAAACAGCCGGGCATTCGTATCGAGCGATGCGACTGTACCGATGTTCGAATCCTGCAGGCGGATACCGTCTTTTTTAATCTTTGTTTTGATCTTCCACTCTTGGAATCGGAAAGCATGACTGTTATCGTGAATCAAGTCTGATTTTTAAGTTTAAAAGTTCCGACTGACAGACTGCGACTGTAAGTACCAAAAGATCCGATATTTGACGCTACGACGCCGCGCTAGTACTCAGAATATCCCTAAACATAGCTTCACACCCAACATACGTGTAACCACCACTTGTATAGTGCAAGTGTAGTCTCGAGAAGTGAAATACAGCCAAAATAGGCTTCGATGCCATAGTATTTAATGGAAACCAAGCATGTCGATTTCCAAGATTAAAGTTGGAGTCCACGTGAAGATTACAAAACATGTCAATCCAATCCAATTAGAATGTTTATACAAGATTTGTCATCTCGTCATTATGGTTGTATAAAAATTTTCAGGTGTCGATTTAGTCAAAGCGTATAATCAAATTCCAGGGACAGAGAATATATCGAAGATTGATGTAATAAGGCCGTGAAGTTTATACAAATCTCATGCGTCTTTCGGATTTAGAAACGCGGTTCTTTCAAATTTTTTAAAGGTTTATGGTTTTCAAATTTGTGCCGACTAGAAATTTAAACTTTTGCTACTCTTATATAGATGATATGCCTATCTTCAACAGGACACTAAGGAGTTTCGAACATTGCTCGCCTGTATGAAAAATGTCAGTTGACCCGATAGACGGTCCATAGATTTCTACGTTAAGATAGCTACTATGATATCTGTATTTTTATGTTGTGGGCAGTCTGTGGATCTGACTTTTGTTTGTAGATCTTGTCTCAGAGTTTTGCCTCCACTCCGCTGAGCCGTTTCATGAATTCAGATGTCCTGGCAATCCCTTGACACTACCATTTTTAGGCAAGTAATACATTTATACATAATGATTTCAAAATCAGAGCCATATAATTAGGCCCGCGTTACACTGAAATAAGATTTTATTAAAAACTACTTGTCTAGTCTACGTGCAAATTCTCCAACATTGAATAGAATCATATATTTGCGATGAAAATATACAATTTCGCAGCCAAATGTCTTATATGAGTCCGTTTGCATGTAAAATATATATTTATGTCAATGGAATAAAGTTTACATTACATTTCTTTTTTTTTACGCGGTACTGTGTAAACCAATAACAAAATATCTTCGTAACAAATAGATTCCTTTGAATTTAAAATTTATTACTATTCAGATCTGAGATATTATCGTTATAAGCTTGTTAATTCTAAGTTAATTAAGTTTGTTAAGAGGCAAATAATCAGTCCCTCCTGCCCCCCAAATGACCAAAAAATGATGAAATGATTTAATTAATCTAATAGCGATTTTATATTCTCTTAAAATACTAATTTATTATTAACAATATAATAAGAGGTAATTAGTTTTCTTCTTCGGGGTCCGTCTTCTCGGGGTCCTAGGTTTGTCTATGATCTAAAAAGAAACAGCCATGATTAGTTTGAACTTATTTACTGACGAGTGAAAGAGCTCAGAGCTTACACGATTCTAATCGTTAATGGCTCATAGACATCAGTGCTGTCGCGCATTCGGAAGGAATAGCATCGTGTAATAAAAATCAAACCTGCAAAATTATAATTTGTGTAGTTACTGGTGGTAGGACGTCCGGGTACGCGCGGGTGGGTACCACCACCCTGCCTATTTTTGCCGTGAAGCAGTAATGCGTTTCGGTTTGAAGGGCGGTGCAGCCGTTGTAATTATACTGAGACCTTAGAACTCATATCTCAAGTTGGGTGGCGGCGTTTACGTTGTAGATGTCTATGGGCTCCGGTAACCACTTAACAGACCACTTGGCTGTAAGCTCGTCCACCCATCTAAGCAATAAAAAAAAAAAAAAAAGTGTGCTATCCAAACTGATTCGTGATAGATATAGGCAGAAAGATGGCGTCTATTCGTGCACGCCCTGCAATTTGTTAAACTGTACTGATTTGTAATTACACCTTATTCCTTCACCGTAGATGTCACTTGTGTCCATGCACCAACGCCCCGTCTCCACAGGAGGTCCCCACGTGACCCCCACTAGAGACCACGGTGACCACAAATATGTCCAAACTATTTTACTAAATGACCTCTCTTACTGAGTGTAACGCGAATATAATAAACTTGTCTTCACATACAACGGTTAGCACGGTATGGATGGATGCGTAGAAAGAAGACGCATGTGACTAGGAGATGTATGGATATGGTAGTGCAAGGTAGAGGGGGAAGAGGTCGACCGAAGAAGACATGGATGGAGTGTGTGAATGACGATATGAGAGAGAGAGGGGTTAGTCTTGAGATGACGGCTGATAGAAGAGAATGGAAGAGAAAAATTTGCTGTGCTGATCCCACCTAGTGGGATAAGGTGCAGAAAAAGAGAGAGGATTAATGGAAATAGACAGTAATTATTATATAAAATAGACTCACCTAAAGACTAAATCTACGCGTCTTGACTAGAGCAGAACAATGTAGTTGGTCTGTGGACCACAGCTGCGGATGAAACAGAGCTCTTTAATACGGCACGCCAACCGAAACTCAAACATCATCGTCATCATTCTCCTGCCCTTCTACCAGTCACCTGGGGTCCTTCCATACTCCTCTATCATATACCATTTGCTTGCTCACTCCTCTCTTACACATAACGTCTTTCACGCAATTCACAGTCCACTGAGTTTCTCGCCGGATCTTCTCAGTGGGTCGCGTTTCCGATCCGGTGGTAGTTCTGCGAAGCACGGCTCTTGCTAAGGCCAGTTTGAGCCTCTCAAGGCTATCAGCATAAGTAGAAAAAAAACGGGAATAAAAACGCAATTCATCCATTTTTTCTTAGGTCTATCTCTTCCTCCAAAGCCTTCCACATTCATAGTTAAAACTCTCTTACCAACCTCATTCGTCCGAAACTCAAACATGATATCAAATTTATTCATAAGATTTACCACAATGTATTAGTAATGCAGTTTTTTTAAATTTATTTATTTCTCTAATAAAACGCATAGTGCTCTACTTATAGAATAACGCTCAATGATCTCCAACACTAGTCCGCGACATCTGCTCACGACTTAGCCTAACCTGATCTATCCCGAGAAAGAGGGAGCCTGGAGATCAGTAATACAGGTCTTTGAACCTAGTACAGACTTCAGCTCTTACAAAAACCAACGTCTTGTCGTGTTTTGTCGTGTCGTAGCGTGACGTTTACTAATGCGCAGAGTATAGTACAGTTACCGGGGTCGGCGTGGTCGGGGTCGGGCGGCGGCAGGCGGTGCGGGTCCTCGCCCCCCGGGAGGCAGGTCTCCACCAGCGCCTCCAGCCAGTTCACGAACAGCTCCGCGCTCTCCGCCGTGCACTGTTTCTGTAACACACAAGTCATTACGATCATAAGGTTGGATATCGCAATATTGTGCTTAGTCCTATAGCTTAGATGGGTGGACGAGTGCCCTATCTGGTGTTAAGTGGTTACTGGTGCCCATAGACATCTACAACGTAAATGCCACCGCCACCCATCCTGAGATATTAGTTCTAAGTCTCAGTATAGTTACAACGGCTGCCCCGCTTTTCAAACCGAAACGCATTACTGCTTCACATCCGAAATAGGCAGCGTGGTGTTACCTATCCGTGCGGCCTCACAAGACGTCCTACCACCACTAATATTACTATCGTCACTGACGTTGAGACATGAGGTCCGAGTCTTAACAGTATAGGCGTGCCCGCTCCGCGACAGGAGGGCGCAGCTCCCTTGCGAGTACCTTGGTGAAGGGGCCGGCGAACCTCCAGAGGCCCCCAAAGCCACAGCTCTGCATGTAGTGCAGCTGTTGTTGGCTAGCGTCTTCCGAAGCGATCATGTTCTGGAAGTGAAAGCATTGAGCATTAAAACCACAACCTTTATACATTGTTATGGAATTTCACGATTAACGCATGGATGCGTCTTAAAAAGACTTGGATGGAATGTGTGAAAGAGGATATGAGATAGCAGAGTGTGAGTGCAAAGATGACGTGATATTACATAGTGCGTTCCCAGAGACCTTTTTTGCCACATACCATCCGGCTTTGCAATGGGCTCCCCTCCACGGTGTTTCCCGGGTGCTATGACATTTTCTTCTTCAAACGAGGCTTGCGGAGAGTACTTAACGCTAGGCAGCGGCTTGGTTCTGCCCCTGGCATTGCTGACGTCCAGGGACAATGGTAACCACTCACTATAATGTGAGATAAGGGTGAGAAAAAGAAAAGTTTTTGTCTCTACCTAATCGTTGGTAGCCTAAGGGGCTTTTCCAACTATGCACAATTTGGTAGGTGAGCTCAGGGTGCTGAACGAGGAATTGCTAACACTAGCCAATAGCAAGAGCTTCGCTGAATCTACTACCGCATATAGAGCAGATCTGGTCGGGTGTCTATTTTATTTTATTTTTATTTTATTTTATGGCCTAGGTTGCTCGTCGAGTTCGGCAAGAACGGTGACTGGTACTTGGAATGCCAATAAACACCGTGAGTGGATCGGGAGGATCCTATAGGATGTGCTTAGGGCGACGATACCTAATTAGAGGCGGCAACGATGAGAGTTATCGTGTCGCGCCATTTTTTCGTCCTGCGGTCTGAAGCTGAATCAGCTCCAAATCGAGATCGTCTTGAAGAGGTATGGTCCTCCGAAAAAGAGTCTGTAGGACCCATATTGAAGAAACAGCCTTTGCAAAATAGAAATTGCTACCAGTTGATAATTCTGCGTGATGTCTACGGGTCCCATCGCCTAACCAGTCATCGTTCTCGTCGAACCCGCTGCGACGAAGGGCTCGGTGAGTAAATTAACCCATAGACCAGTCTTTCTCAAAGTGGGCGATAACGCCCCCTTGGGGGCGTTTGAAACCTAGAGGGGGGCGTTAAGGGGCCCAGGAAAAAATGGGGGGCGTTGATGTGGGTTAGGGGGGCGCTGTAAAATTTGTAAATTCATTTACTAGTATTTTAAATTTCACTAAAATTAAAACTCACCTACTACATAATAACGAATAATTAGGGTCTTAGTATATTTCTACCCTGTATGATGTTATAAAAACTTAAAATAATTAACATAGATTTCGTAGGATAGCCCACACACCGTACGCAATCAAGTTGTAACAAGTTTCTGCGGAACATGATCGATGATAGTTAAAAAATTAGAGCAATTTTACCTTTATTACATTGCACCAGAAATTATTTTAAACATTAGAAAAAAAACTACCATGCAGAGTTTTAAAATATTGCACATACGTAAACTAACACAAATTGAGGTTTTCTTTACTTTCTTTCTTGTTTTTAACAAAAGGGCATTTTACAGCACTTTCCTAGCATTTTATAAGAAATTACTGATGTAAGAATGTGATGAGGAAGATGTTACAATTATTGTTTAAAAACTTGTCTTAGATTATTATTTTTTACAATTTACCCATTACCGTCCAATGTCAAATAGTATAGTAAGCCTAAACAGCTCACTTATTGTAAACATTGTTTACTATTTCATACTACTGTTATTATTTCACATTGTTTTATTTCTATATAATAATAGGTTGGGGAATAAGTTTCTTCGCATTTTTTAAGAAAATTCACAACATTTTCTAATATAGTATATTCACATTTAACTAAAGTATGTCGGTACCATTTTGTTTGATAACTTTTTGCCATCTTGTAGGTAGGGACATGATCCCATTGCTATAGAAATTTTGGGGCTTTTGCGACAATTGGTTTTGGCAGTCCTCTCGTGATGTTAACCTGACACTGCCTAAATAATTCTGAAGAGACCGAAACAGGTACAATCTGAAGGTGCAAGGTCAGAGCTATACGGCGGATGCATTAACACCTCCCAGCCAAGCTCTCTTAATTTTTGCTGAGTGGCTAAAGGTGTGTGAGGTCTAGCGTTATTGTGATGAAAAACCACACCCCCTCTGTTGATTACTTCCGGCCGCTTTCTCTCAACTTCTTGCTTTAATCTCATCAGTTGTTCGCAGTAGAGTTCAGAATCGATGGTCCTGCCTGGTGGTAACAGCTCATAATGTATAATGCCCTTCCAATCCCACCACACACACAGCATCACCTTGTTGCGAGTTAACCCGGGTTTCGCCAGAGTCTGTGAAGCCTGACCGGCCTTTGACCACAANTCGCATTACATATCCGGCAGCCTTTCCTGAAGCAACGAGAGGGACGATGACCAGATTTAAGACAATTGGAACACAATTTATGTTTATTAACTAGGCTCAACCTTGCATCTACATTCATATTTTTAAATATATCGCACTCATAAAGAAAATGATTTTTTGAACAAATAATACACGATTTCGACGATGAATTTGCAGCAACAAAAGATTGAGTATACTTTGGTTCTCTACTTTGAATGTGTTTATCTGTCTTTGGTTGTTCAGTTTTGCAAAAGTGTACAGTTTCCAAAACATCAGCACGATTACGTAAAAATTCACAAAAAGATTCAAGAGAAGGCGGCTTAGTCAAAGAATTCCTGTGCTCCTCCCATTTGCGACTTGTGGCGCCATCTAGTTTGGTTGTCATCATAAAAATGATCAAAGTGTCCCAGAAGGAAGTAGGTTCCTTTAGGGTACCTAGAGCTCGCAAGTGTTTTGTGAAATAATCAATCATATAACGCAGTGACTGATGGGACTCTCTAGCAATAGGTTGAAACGAAAACAATGCCCTTAAATGATTGTTAACAAGAAGTCTTGTATTGTCATATCGTTGGCAAAGTAGGTCCCATGCTACGTCATAATTTTCCGACGAAAACTCAATTGATTTTATCACTACCGCGGCACTACCTTCTAACACGGACCGTAAATAATGAAATTTATTAATTTTCGGAATTGACTCATTTTCGTTTACCATAGAACGAAAAGTATCTCGAAATTCCAACCACTTCAAATAATTGCCGTCAAAACTAGGCAAATTTATTGTTGGCAAATTAATATTAAGAGATTTAGATTTGGATTCAAATGAATTTAAAGAACCATCGCTACGATTAGTTTCATTCGGTTTTTGAGCATCTATACAGCTCTCAATAATGTTCTGCGCTTGTACGATTAAGGAACAAAAATGATTTTCCATTGTTTCCCTTTCTTGTAATTGCCTTTCTTGTTCTAGAGTATCGTCGCTCAATAATTCAATTTTTCGTTGAACTTCATCAAAAACGTTCAATAAGTTTTGAAATCTTTCTAGTTTAAATTGAAGCTCATTAAGCTGAACCTTAGACATTACTTTAGAATCAATTGCTTCTATAATTTTCATATACTTTTGAAAGGCAGTTACTCTTCCCTTAATCGTACCACGTTCCTGAATTAATGATTTCAATTCCGCCATAATTTAAAGTTGCAACTAAATGGGCGAATAATAAATCAAAAACAATTACCAGAAACGAAGTTAATAAATGTTAAATTAAGAAACCAAACCATAAAGGCCGCTGTAAGTGTTCAACAGCGGCAGCCAAGTCGCTTAGTCCAGTCCGTCACTGATCCCGTCTTACGCTCTCTTTGTTCCACGATAAATATACGCGTAGGTGCTTTGGTTGGGATCCAGGGGCTTCCTTGGCAGCTCGGATAGCTGGAATAGTCGGCAAAAAACTAATGAAATAGCTGTGTATACAATCACTTTTCATGAACCTATATATTTTATACATAAATCACAAATAGTGCAAAAAAGCTATTGAATAAAAAGCCGTAACTTTTTCCAACAATTAGCATACGAAATAATATTTTACAAAAAATAACAGTAATGACACATAGTGCGAAGATTCGTAGCAAAAAATGTTTGCGTGTGTGGGTAGATACAATTTCATTCCCAAGTAGCAATCAGCAAAGCATCAAGAAAAACTTACGAAAATTATGCAAAAATATATCATTAAAATAGCAAATTAATACAATAAATTATTAGTAAATCAAATTAATTACATATTGATTACGATCGCATATTGCGTCGACAAACAATAACAATGTGGGTATATTTGAATTACACAAGCAAGCGTTCTGCGACAAAATGAGGCAAAATTCCCTTAATTAATGAAAGTATAATTGAAAATTGGCTACTTCCTTGAACGAGCTCAATGCAGCAGTAGATATGACGATCCAACAGCTGTGCAGTCGTCAGGTACGAGCAATCCAACAACCAACATTAATGGGCTATTTTTCTTTTCGCCTTTACGTCATATCACGTCCAATCCGTCCGGTCAGAAAGTTTCATCTTCAATTTACGATCACGTCGGGGTCACCATTTTCTGTTCATGACGATGGTGAACAAGAAACCACGCATGACAGAATTATGATAGTTTTATTTATTTACTTTTAAATACATTATTTTATTAACAAAGATGTTGACGCGTGTCACGCTGCTGGTCGACGAACACGAATCTTAGTCCGCGGGCGCATCTTCCTCGCGCTGCCTTCCCCCGTCCCCTCTCTCGCCCTGAACGTCGTGAACAGTAACAAAATACAATGTTTTTGCGGATTGTTCAGATCCCACAAAAACAAGTGTAACACATAATATACATGACTGATAGCTCATTTAACTGTTTCATTTTTCCATTGTAAAACCAAATCTATTCAACAATACGTTAGTTGTTAAGAGTAGACAAGCTTGAATAATTTGAAATTGGGCATCTCATGAAATCATAAAGAATCGTGCCACATTCATGACGAAAAGCAATGGAGAAAAACAAACGGTTGCAAACGTCCAGAGACGGCGAGATACATTGATTTCGAATTTTAAATGACTGCACAAATCGACCAACAAAAAAAGGAGAAAACCGACTTCAACCAGCTAAAAACAGCTAAGCACAAATACTTGAAATTTATAACATACTCGAAAAATATTTTCCAGAGTATGTTTC